TTTTTAGTAAACTCTGTAAGCATGACTATTTCAGCTAGGGTCTAATTTAGGAAAATAACTATTTATGAATAAAATTCGGATACCAAAAAAAAAAAAGTCATCCTAACTTGCCAGAATATCCTCAACTAGCTCTTGTAACCTTGCGGAGGTAACAGCTACACCACTGCTGTTACATTTACTCGGCTTCCCAGGGGAGAAGAGCTCACATGTTGGTTGCTTGATTATGGATATGATAAAGGATTAACTTCCCTGTTTCATGAATTTCTGAAAAAAATGTTGAATTTAGCATAGAGGTACGCTTCAAATAGTGTGTGTGTTTTTTTTTTTTTTTTTTTGTTTTTTTTTAAATTAGCAGTATTGTGATTGCCATGTAAATTGTGATTATTTTTGGCCAGAAACACCAGCAAAGCCATTTTTTTCTAGTTTGAGGATTAAATGCTGAATGTGGTGTGCAGCGCTGCCAGTTAGTTGTGGTTGTGTTGTCATGAACTCAACATATGGGTGTTTAGTTGCTTTTTATAGGTCTGATTCCTCTATGGGCAGCTCAACCACTTAAAACAATGTTGTTGAAGTAGGTTCTGTATGCTTGATTCACACACTGCACTCTGCAATTGTGATTTTGACATAAGATTGTTTGTACTGCACCCGGAAAGCCATATTGTACTATTTCTGCGGAATGAGTACTCGACCTCTCCTGTGGTGTCTTTCTTCTTCATCCTAAAACTGTTCTTTCACGATCATTGCTTCATCTGCTCTTACCTTGTCACATTCTGTTAAGCCATTTTTCTGTTAGCCTCTTTTTCTCTCTCCCCCTTTCTCTTATTCTTTGTTGTCTATATTTCTGAAACACGGTCTTCCTTTTTTTCTTTCAGTCTTTCTCTTTTTCTCCCTGTAATGCTTTGTCCTCTGTGCCTTCCCTCCCTCTTTCTCTCTGGCACAGAAATAGTTAGGATTCTGGGTCACTATCTTGTAATTGTCCCACTTGTCCGCTCACTTCTGCTGTGTTGCCATGCTCTGTCTTCATGTACCATGTCTCTATCATGAAGGGCGAAGATGAAGGAAAGCAAGCTTTGGCATCCTTGCTTGTGATGTCGTACAATTTCTTCTCCAGTTTATATGTTTCACATACTAGAACTAAGCTGCAAAAAACAGTGTAGCTCATGATGATGAAATTATGGTAGCTCATTCGTCTGTTGGGCAGATACTCCAGTGGAAGAAACGTTGAAGATGAAATGCTGCTGCTACTACTAAGCTGTTTGTCAAGTGATGTGGGGATTGGCTTAAGTAGCCTTCAAAGCACTTGATAAAACTGAAACTGAGAGTTATGATCCATCAGTTACTCTTCACTGTTGTTGCACCCTGCATATTATATTTGAGATATAAAAACGTAAAGGACCTGAGATATCAACTAATTTGGACAAGACAAAATAGTCTTCTGACTAAGTGTTTACCAGCTGTGGAGTTTGACCAAGATGTAGGTCAGGGAGGACTAGTTTCTTAGAACAGATGTTTGAGCTAAGGCACAGTTGGTCATGCTTTGATTCCTGTTGGAAGGAACTGATTTAGATCCAAACTGGCAATAATGTGCCCTTTATTCTTGCTCGTTAGCTCATTTAGGACATGGAATGGCATGCGCTTCCTGATTTCGACTAGAGTTTGAGCTTTTCTGCTTTGGAGACAGAACACAGTGAACGTTCTTAATTAAATGTCTAAGTTGAAGTCAGCATCTTAAAGCTCACACACAAACGTGGAACAGAAGTTTTAGCTCTGATCAAGTCTCTCACAGAACACATTGGCTGTAGGCAATTACATAATTAAATGGTGTAGAACAAGTTGGGTAAGCAGACATGCCTGTGCTGGGCTTTAGTTTCTTTAGTGCAATAGATGTGGAGGGGAAACCGTCTGTGGAACCTTGTTGATTTCGAAACTTCTGTGTTGATATTGTTAATGATAAATTACTTATCCAGAAATTGCTTGAATTTTTTTTTTATTTATTTATTTTTTTAATCATTTAAGATTTAAAGGCTGTTTCTGTACTAAAACAGGATGGGCCTTCAATACTGAGCCCATTCAACTGGAAAAGTGGGTGTTTGCCATGCCTTAGGCATTTGGCAGGGTATTTTATCTGAGCATGGAGACGAGTTAAAACTCTCACCACTTAGTAGAGTTGTAGTGATATACATGGTCAGATTTTTGTTTTCTATGTCTTGATTCTGCAGAGCTCCAGTTACATAATTCTGGGATGGTTTTGGCTCAGAAAAAAAACACATTTTTCAAATCGAAAAATTCCAAATTAGTATGTCTAAAACTGATCTGATAATGGCTGTAAATAATGCCAGAACCTAAATTGCCTCATGTAAAGTGTTATACAGCATGTTTCAGTTCATATCACAAACAAAATTGCAATGAGCATCAACTCTGACCAGGTTACTGTTTAAATTGTTAATGTTTTTTGCTTTTTGTGAACGATTACAAATGAGAGATGTTTACATTTCAGTATATTTTTCTAAATGTTATTTTTTTCAGTATTGTATTGAAATCATTACACGTTTACCACTTTGTGTTTTCTTTTGTTCTTTTGTAGAGAGGCTTGCCACTGCCAAGGAGGAGAATGTCAAGATCCATGCCACGCTGGATGCTACCCTGCAGGACCTCAACAACTTCTGAAGTCCACAGGCCCCCTTCTCGCCCTCAAATGTCTCGCCTGTACCTTTTTCTACCCATTCCCCCCACGCTCGTCTTTGCTGGGTGGCTCTGTTTTGGCTGAACAAGGGCAAGTTGCTTTTTGGTATAGGTAGCACTTGGCTTCACTCCTCACTTCCTGACCACAGCCCTCAGTATCTGAAGGCTCCCCCTCAACTTTTGTTTTGCATCTAGCTTTGTGTAGGCTCTTCCCCCTTTCTTCAAATAGGATGGCATATGCTGAAGCACCAATGTCTTAAGCTTGCTTCTCTGTTAAAATATTCCTTATTTGATTCATTCCAGCAATTATGTGCAATTAAGTAATTAGGTAACGTGATGTGTAACGGAATGGCTCTTGTTTCAGATTGCCAGGTTGCTGGGTTTGCTCTGATCTGCTAGTTTTCCTGTCCCACAGTGCAATGTTAATACAACAGATAAAGAACTGGAAAGGTCACAGTGCAAAACATTATTAACCCTCATCCCACATGCTTTGTATTATCACTCTCCTATCCCTTGTAACTGCTGAGCTCTTTGCCCAGCCCCACTTGTTTTAACACTTATTAAACAATGTATTTTACTGTGCCAATGCAGTGCCATGCGGGACCATTATATTGTTCTCTTAGCCATGCGTTTTGTTAAGAAAGGGTTAACATCAGTTTCTTAAGGAAGTGATTACTCCCCTGACTTGCCTACCGATTTCTTTTGAAATTGTTTTTCCAGAATGAGCCACAAAAGTTACTGGGCCAGCTCTTAACGGTTTTCACATAACCTTTCCATTTCTTTTCAGAAGAGGATTTATGGTTTTGGTGTAGAGCAACACTAGACATCAAATTATAATTTTTTCCTGAAGTGTCAAAATTGCATTTAAACCGTCAGGACCCTTTGTCCTCTTCAGGTGAAGCTCCCCTCCAAAGGTCACAAGAGGGTCATAGGGAGAGAGAAGGGGTCTTCACATTCCACTGCCAAAATGGAGGTTAAAGGGCCAATAAGGAGGGCAAGAGGGATGAGCAAACTTTAAAGGTGTTATCTGAGCATCTCATCAGTGTAGTTTCTATTATGCTCTGGAACAGAAAACTGAAACCATAGCGTTTAAATAAGGACATCGAAGCACCGAGAACCTTTTTAACTGGAACATAAATTGCGAAGTTAAAGATGTAAACATTTTGCTATCAACAGTGTTTCATTGTAATAATGACACGATCAAAATTCTTTTTTAAATAAAGTACCATAATACTTATTCACCCTCCTGACTTCTGTTTTGTTTTTTAAAAATCCTCAGCAGACCTACAGCTTGGCTGTAGTAGACACAAGACCTTGGATGTCTGTGCAGGCGCACAAGAAAGGCTGTCCAGCGTTGATGAAAGCGACATCTATTCTTGAAGATTCTTTTGTGTATGTATAGGAGATGGCTTTAGATGCCTCTTAGCATTTGAACAAAGATGTGGGATTAGAAGAAGAGCATGGGTTCTGTAATCCGGTAGGAGGAACTTGATTCCAGAGACTTATTTAATCATGTATAGCATGTATGTATCTGTGCCCCAACTTACTAAAATTACAGGAACTACCAGGAAGTGCAGAAATAGAATGTTACTCAGATTGTTTGTGGATCTGAGAGAAGACCATGATGATTGGACCATCTGAGTTAACATTCTTTAGGTAATCGTGCTGCTACAATGAAGCTTTGGTTCTGTTTTGGCTGGCTGCCTTTCTAAAGTCAGTGTTCATTGTTATTTAATTTTCTTGGACACTAAAAGGCTTTTGAACTGTAGCTTAGACTGCTTTTGCCTTCAGTCCTCTCACTTTAAGACATGGTTTGCAAAAATCCTTAATTAAATTGTGGTAGTCCGCTGGCTTTTCAAACAGGGACTGATGAAAAACAAATTAGAAAAAAATGAAGCTCTTTGCAATAATGAATGTTTTTATATATTGAAAAAAGGTTTCTGGCCAAAATGCTTTGGATGTCTGGTTCCCATTTCCACTGCTGTGAACGATTCTGGCAAGAATGAACGAGACTTGGCAAGAAACCACCCACATCAAACCACTCCGAATGACTTTGTTTACACCTTAACCATTTAGTTGACCCTGTTTATTTTATGTATAAAACCTCAAACATTTAATAAATAATTTAGTAAATAAAATGGCTATATTTATTAGACAGTGTGACCCCTGGTTCAAGAACACTGTGAATGACTTGTTTAGATTGAATTATGGTAAATTTTTGAAGATTGCTGTTGGGACACTGGACTGAATTCAGTTCATTAAATTCATAACTCTTTAAAACAGTAAGGAATCTAAGTTTACTATACTTTTCATGCAGCTTGTGTATTTTTCCTGTTTATTAGGATCTTTCCAAGGCACTGCATACACAATATTTATCCAAAAAAAAAAATGCCACAACGCAAAAAACCAGTTCTGAATCATGACTGTGGCTTTATGTAGTGTAGGTGGAATATTTCCTGATGTACAGTGAACTATACCTCATTAAGAATACAACCTTTAACTGTTTTGTGCTTGTTCTTTTATCGAGCTTTCCTTAAATTGAGCCCCTTTAAAACTACAAACTGTTCAAATGACTGACAGTCTGCGATTGGGTTCTTCAAAAAGAGAAAGCAAAAAGGCACAGATGCAATACTGAAATGAACAGCGGTCAGTCAAAATACATGACATTTAACAAATATGCTTGATTCTAATAAAAATGCCCATCATTCCAGAGGATCTTGAAACACTATCTTCTCAGTTCGACATGGTCCGGAATAGCAGCACATTTTCCTCCAGGAGAGTCTCATCTTTACCGTTTATGCAGTCTGATGCTGTCTTATGATCTTGGGTCATTGTGATCTCTCCCTAGCCAATGACAGTAGCCTCTCAAGCTGTCCTTCAAGAAGAGTAGCATCTCCGTCATTGCTTATGGTCCAGTCAAAGTTCACTCCCTGATCCAGGCCGCATTCGGACTCTGCATCGTCTACTCCTGAGGAATGAGATTAGATGATCTGGTGACTCTCTGTGGTTTCTAACTTTAATTTTAAAGCTGCATCCTGGAGATCTACTTTCCTGCAGAGTTTAGTTCCAACCTGCATTTAACATGCTGCCCCCTCCCTAATCCTACTCAGGATTTATGAAGAAGTAGCTGGAGCAGGTGTGGCAGATTATGGTTTGAACTACTATCTATAGGAAAGAAGATCTCCAGGACCAGGGTTGGTTTTACTCTAGTTCCTTTATGAACCATACAATCTGCATAAATTGATATCAGACATAGGAGCTATTAGTAAACAGTGAGTGTGCCTACAAATCAGGGTGGTGTTTCAAAAGCAGGATTTATCTGGAATATAACTGGATAACTTGAAGGAATATTCAAGTATTTTTCAACCTAATTTCTGTCTTCTGCATCTGTAGCATACAATCAGTTACCGAAAATGATTCCAATTTATGTAGTTTCTGTACTTATTAAACAGAAATATGTTGACTTATAACAGAAGCCAAAGGGCAGGTCCATTAAGAAAAGTTGTTCAATAATAAATTGTGTAACTGACTGCATGCTGCTTATTTGGTAGATAAAAAATTAGGTCGAAAGTAAATCCTGGATCATTCTTTTTAGCCTTGAGTTAACAAGGTAACTGAGAAATCGTGCCTTGTAAAACAAACCCCTGAACTGTTTCTATAGTCAGTAGTAGCTTTTTCTCACCTGCAGTGAACCTCCAGCCCCTCTGGACTCTGGTCTGCTCCGATGCCTCCACTCGGACACTGACGCACTGCTGCGGATATTCCTTCCAGAACCACTGTAAATCTGACATCCGTCTGCAGTCGCTCACAATCTGGGTCACATTGGGTAATAATAGTAAAAAATGAACATTATTTACATAGCACTTCTTTTTGGTTCCAGTGCTTTACAGAAAGTATGGTGACAATGAAAGTGAATTAAAATGATCTTAAATTATAGAAATTCAGTTATGAACAAAAACAGACTTTCTTTGTAGGACAAAATGGAATGAAAATGCGCACATTATCAAAAAATAGAAAACAAATTCTAGGCTACTCAAATGAGCTACACCGATCAGGCATAACGTTATGGCCACCTTGTTTTTACGCTCATTGTCCATTTTATCAGCTCCACTTACTATATAGGTGCACTTTGTAGTTCTACAATTACAGACTGTAGTCCATCTGTTTCTCTGCATACTTTGTTGGCCCCCTTTTACCCTGTCCTTCAGTTGTCAGGACCCCCATGGACCCTCACAGAGCAGGTACTATTTGGGTGGTGGAACATTCTCAGCACTGCAGTAACACTGACGTGGTGGTGGTGTGTTAGTGTGTGTTGTGCTGGTAAGAGTGGATCAGCTGCTGGAGCCTTTAAACACTGTGTCCACTCACTGTCCACTCTATTAGACACTCCTACCTTGTTGGTCCACCTTGTAGATGTAAAGTCAGAGACGATAGCTCATCTGCTGCTGCACTGTTTGTGTTGGTCATCCTCTAGTCCTTCATCAGTGGTCACAGGACGCTGTTGGCTGGACAGTTTTGGTTGGTGGACTATTCTCAGTCCAGCAGTGACACTGAGGTGTTTAAAAACTCCAGCAGCACTGTTGTGTCTGATCCACTCAGACCAGCGCAACTGCAGTGCTGAGAACGATCCACCACCCAAATAGTACCTGCTCTGTGAGGGTCCATGGGGGTCCTGACAACTGAAGGACAGGGTAAAAGGGGGCCAACAAAGTATGCAGAGAAACAGATGGACTACAGTCTGTAACTGTAGAACTACAAAGTGCACCTATATAGTAAGTGGAGCTGATAAAATGGACAATGAGCGTAGAAACAAGTAGGTGGTCATAATGTTATGCCTGATTGGTTTAGATGCAATAAACTTAGCATAGTCCAGCTTAAGCAAGTATGTTTTGTATCTGAATAATAATAAAAAAAACAACAGAACTTGCATTCCTTATACTCTGGAACTGATCCAGAGTTTAAGAGCTACACAAGAAAAAGATATTGCACCAAGATGCAAGAGATCCAGTGGATTAGCAGTAAGCTGCATCAGCTGAGTAAAGTGGTTGGGATGGGCTATGATTCAAGAAAATAGCAAAATATGCTGCACCATTAAGTTAAGAGCCTAGAGCATTAAAGGCTTTAAATGTCCAGAGCAAGCCTTTATGGTCAATACATCTCTTCGTAGAAAGCCAATGCAAATTGAATAAGACCAGATTAATGTGCTCTGACTTTCTTTTACTGGGAAGCTTACTTTAAGAGACATCAGGGCAGTCAGCCAGTAACACACTTAAGTAGTGTAATCTAGAAGCAATGGATGCATGCATCAGTTGTTTAGTATGTCGGGTTAGCATGTGTCTTATTTTGAATAAGCTTCTTATGCCGCATGAATATGCTGTTTTAGTGAGGTTACATATATGAAGCTCAAATGAAAGACTAGTGTCATGGGTTACTGACGCTGGTCTTTCATTTGAGCCCCATATAACAGCATGTAGCTTTTAGTTGCACAGAAAAATGAAAGTTTAGGATATAATTAGTACCTGACATGAATACTTATCAGAGTTTAGAAGAAGGACGTCTAGACTTTGCTACCTTTATCAGTCTTCCTTTTTCTAATCATAATAGTGATTTATATGCGTGAGTGATGAATTTATTTTAAGCATGATTCACTTCACTGGGTTTTTCTGTTCATTAACCAATATAGGAAAATGTCAGGTTTTCAACCTGTAGGGTGTGGCGGTACTGCTAGGGGCTGTCAGTGTTTTGTTTTTTTTTTCCCCCCACCTGTTTTCCCTGTTTTGTACGATAATACTTGAAACTAACACTGTTTGCTATCTGGTGTCAACCAGAGGAGGGTGGGTTCCTCTTCTGAGTCTTGGTTCCTCTCAAGGTTTCTTCCTCTTGCTCTTAGGGAGTTTTTCCTTGCCACTGTCGCCACTGGCGACACTCATGGGGGCTCAGACCCGGATTTTTCTGTAAAGCTGCTTTATGACAACACCTGTTGTAAAAAGCGCTATATAAATAAACTTTGCCTGCTATAAAGGTTTGTTACAGTATATGATTATTTACATTTCACCAAGTCATTTTAAATGATGTATTTTTTATTCTTGCAAATATTTTTTTTATATCAAGCTTATTAATTGATTTGGCAAAATACATCCTAGTTATGGAAGTAAAACTTTTACTTTTCAATCCATCAAGATAAATGGTTAAAAGGGTATTTCAAAAGGAAAGATCCTGAGGCTGGGCCATCTACAAGTGAAGTGGCAACTGTATTTAAAATACCAAGCATAAACTGAGACAAAGAAAATACAACAGTAGATGCCAAGCACTGGGCTTCAGAACAGAAAGCAAGAAAGCCACAGTGCTGTTTGCTCAGAGATCTGGTCAAATGAGGCTTTGAAGCAGAACGAATTACGCCATTACTTGGAGACTAAACATAGCAAGTATGTATCTAAATCTATCGAATTAAGCTAATTTTTTGCTCCTTTTGCCGGCTAAAAGGGTTAAAAATTGTCTCTATTGTCCATTTTGTGCTGAATAATAATATCACCGCTTCCTTTATAATTTTGTTTGAGGCCCGAGATACTCTAATGCTAGCTTGGTTGTATTTATTGGCCTATAGATCAGTGACTAGCAGTCGGGATTGACTGACACCACAGGGATTTACAATGGTTGTATAACGTATTTGCATAATGAATGCTGGGAATTGTAGTGAGAGAAAACTGAAAACATGAAAAATGATATCATAAACTCATGTCAAACCAGTGAGGCTGAGGAATGCAATACACAAGACTGCCTAACACAAATAACATGAAAATCTTTCCCCCATTATAGTGCAATATTTTTTACTGACATCTGACCATGTATTGCTTTGAGAACTGGAGGTAGAGAACTTTATTGTAGATCCAAAATGAGAAAAATAGAGCGTGACAACCTTCACTTCCTGTACTGCTAGGCATCGCTCTCCTAATGTTTCCCAGCAGTTCTATAGAAAACTAAGCACTGGAGGAGCTGTTGGATCTGATACTTAGTTTATTTGGTAACTATGTTTACTTTTACTTGAGTCACGATTTAATTGAAAAAACACTTTTGTTTGATTATAGGTAATCAGAGAAAAGCATAGCCACTAGAGGGAGACACTCTGGGTCACCAAGTCTAATGCCAAGTGTCAACTAGAGAGCTATAAGGACCCCCCCAATACTAGTGATATCAGACGAAAGGCTTGTGCAAATGCTCTACTCACCCACACTGGTTGGGTGGCGCCACGAATGGCCAGACGGCAGAAAAAGCCGGGGTCCTGCAGTCTCTTACTCTCACCCCACTGGATCATATCAGCCCGGTACGTCTCCTTGTACTGATCTGCACTCAGCAGCTGCTCATAGTCCAGTCCATGGTCCTAACGGTGGACAAACAATGATCGTGGGAAGTGTCAGACAGTTGAACACTGTAGCAATAGCCTGAACACTTTAACATAAATGGTTCTTCAAGGGTTCTTTAGTAAAGGCAATGGTTCTATTTAGAGCCATGAATTCTGTTGAGATATTTTGTGCTTAAATAATTTTGCATGGTTAAATGGTTATTATTCAGACTGAGGAAGAATGTGTTGTATGTGGTTCTGCTATTGTTACGATGTCTAGCTTGCAACAATAGAAGAACCCATTTTGGTGCCATCAGTCTTAAGAACCACTTCACAACGCTAAGAACCATTTAAGCATGACAAGGTTCTAAACCCTTGAAGAACCATCTTTTTTCAAGTGTGTAGGCCACGTGTCATTAATTGCTTTTCCAGTCAGCTGATAGATCTTACCTGCGCATACTGAGCTTTTAGGGGAGCTGAAAGTCTGAGGATGCAGCACAGGTGTGGACCCAGTCTACAAAACACCATCAGTACGGTCATTCACACTGCATGGCATTGGTCACCAACCCTCCTCCTGAAGATCTACCTTCCTGGAGGTCTAAATTCCAGTCTACATCTAACACACCAAGAAGGCATTTGAGGGCTATTATCATATGGATCTGGTGGGGTCTATTAGGGTTGGAGCTGAAGTCTGTAAGAAGGTAGATCTCCAGGAACAGGGCTGGTGACCACTGTTGTGTATAGCAAGTGTGGCGAAGTTGGCTTCCTATTCTCCAGCTTCTTGTTCGAATTTTCCCGTTCCACCTTAATTGGTGCAGCAGTTACGTTCATACATACGGGCGCCTCAGACTATAGAACGTAACTGCCGCACCACTTAAGGTGGGACGGGAAAGTTTAAATAAGAAGCTGACTTCGTGAAAAATGTACCAAATGCACCTCACCTTTCCTGTATTAAACCAGTTATATAGTCTTTCCCCGACTTTCGCTTCCCACTGAACAGCAGGATCAGTTCGGGCTGCTGGGTTTCCATCCTGAGAGCAGCATCTCCATCTGAACACGCTCACTGTGCTGATCCTGTAGCCGCGCCCACACTGCGTTTTTTACCGTAAGGGTAAACATTTGAGCCAAACTTTTTACAGATTTCTGTAAAGTTTTACACAATGGCCTCTCAGTTTGACTTGATATCGACATTATGTATTAAAAGAAATGTCTTTGCCGTTATTTGTGCAGATCCTTAAATAATATAAGCTTGGGCATTTGGCTTGTGTTTTATAGGCGTGCGTCTTCTTGGCTTTACGGTAATCGGATGAGCGTCACGCCATGAACGTCAGCGATTCAAAATACACAAAAGCAGTTCGATAAAAGTCCAATCTCACCAAAGGCTCACGGAGAGTTTTAATATTTTTTCTGGTCTTTTTTAAATTATGGTCTAGTCCAAACATAAAACACACACACACTGGCATGTGTGTCTGTTAAAATGAAAAAGGGGAGTCAAAAGCAACAAACATATAATGTTAGTGACACATTTAAACTACATATGTGGTGGTGACAAAAGTGATTGATCTTGCTAATGTGAATTTTTTTAAAGCACGCTTCGACAAATATATATATATATACATATATATATATATATATATATATATATATACATATATACATAAAACTGACATAAAATAGGCTAGAAAATATATAATAAATAAATCGTATTTGCGTTTCCCCCCTTTGTAGGGGACTTTTATTTGGGCCGCTTGGAAATCATTCACCCGGAAGCTTTAGAAATCGTACATTATTTGTCAACAATAGCTCGTCTCTTGTGTTTTGATCACATTTCAGTCGTTAAACTCGGAATTGTGACTTTAATAAAGCAACGTTTTATAAATGTAGATTGCACGCGGCAGTCGCAGTCATGAACGGGAGCTCTAATCCTCTCCTGGATAAAGAGGAGCACGTTTTAAAGCTCGGAGAGAGCTTTGAGAAGAGACCCAAATCCTCCTTCCACACAATCAGATGTGAGTGAATCGAGTGAATCGAAGCTTTTTGAGTCTAATAGTTCAGCCAAAAGAGTTTTTTCATAATATTATACTGGCTTACAGAGATATTAACGCTCACTGGTTACTGTTCACAAGTTCAGACTCACTGGTTGAAAGTTTAAAGTCAGTGTTTTTATTTTTTCAGTAATATAAAACCTGAACTAGTTGCAGAGAAGTCCATAACATAACTAGCTTACAGAAGTCCAGAGAGGCCATGAGGTGATTATACTTTTCTGGACTGTTTTTCACATATTATTTTTCTCATGATCTCAAAATCATCAAGTTATCTTGAGAAAACAACATTTGTTATCTTGAGATCACAAGACGCACAAGTCCTGATCTCAAGATAACAAATGTTGTTTTCTGAAGATAACTTGATTTTGAGAAAAATAAGCTGTGATATTGAGAAAACTTTCGTTTCTTCAGATCACAAGACAATTAAGTCATGATCTCAAGATAACAGTCTAGAAAATAACAATTACCTTATATCTCTGGACTTCTGTAATGCTACGACTCTTAACATGCTCATCCTATGCAACAGTTTTTTTCAGAGGAATCTTAAGACTTTTCTTGTTTAAAATATGTTTTTATTAATTAATTTTGTTCTGTTCAAAGAAATCCTGGATCTTTATCTTTTTCTGAGAAGAACCTTAAGACTTTTCCCTTTAGACATGGTTTTATGAGTTAATTTTTTGATTATTTTCTGTAAAGCTCCTTGAGTTGATGCTGTCATGAAAGTGTGTTACCTATATAAAATAAATAATGATTTAATAATAAAATAATTATTATTAAATAATAATTACTAAGGCACCAGAAAGCTGTAAATCAGAATGAAGAAATAAAATATGTATTCAGAATGACGAACAGAACTGTAGGTGATTCCAAAATGACTCAAATATGTATAGCATTGGGAATTAAGTTATAATAAAATGAACATGCAGAATTATTCATATGTAGAAAATCTCAAGGCAGGTAACCTGACAAGAATCTTGTTTAAATAGCTATTTACTGCAGATGGTTTCCAATTAATAACTTACTATTTCCAAAATTCCTGTGATATTGAGTTACACATCTAAAATATCTTTTAGTAGTGTGTAAAAATTATTTCCTCAATGCATCATTGTTGTATAGAAAATAACAAAAATAGCTAGTTTGTGAAGTTATCTAAATTACATACAATCTCCTAATTTATTTCAGTTGGTTTGATCAAGCCTACAGGAGCACTTCAGTGGAGGAATCAGAGTTGATCATGATTAGCAACTAAAGTTATATATGATCTACTCTATAACAGTGTTTTCCAGCCAGTTTCCTGAGATTAATATACCGTTTATACACTGCACAACAGACATCAGTCTCTTTAAGGGTATTTGAAGCTCAATACGTCTTGTTTTGTGTGAGTCTTGTATATAATTTGGGATTTTTCACATCATCTTGCCAAACGTTCAGACTTCTCTTTCACCTGTGTTTAACACAATCTGTTCGCTTTTCCAGATGATTTTAAACCAGCATCCATCGACACCTCCTGTGAAGGGGAGCTGCAGGTGGGGAAAGGAGATGAGGTCACCATTACGTTGCCTCACATACCAGTAAGGGTCCCCTTTCCTTCCAGTCTGTACAGCTACATTCATTTACTTCTTGTCCTTCCTTGCCCTTAATCAGTGCCTCCGTCTGCATTTTATCACAAGGGCTCCACGCCTCCCATGACAGTATTCAAAGGCAACAAAAGGCCCTATCAGAAAGACTGTGTTCTGATCATCAATCATGACACTGGAGAATATATGCTGGAGAAGCTGAGCAGCAGCATTCAAGTCAAGAAAACGAGGTGAGAAGTCTCACCTGGAGAAGAATAAATGGCTGCTTTCACTCTTATTTGGACTTTAGGTGTTGGCTCTACAATCAGAAAATGCCACTACTATTACAGTTTTATGGTATTGCAATTATATTACTGCATATTTAGATTTCACTCCTAAAGTGCTGATTTAGACTAAAATCAAATCGGATTAAAAGTGGTTAAAACCCAGGATGTAGAATCCAAAAGTTTGCCGTGTTAGATTTGCACTGGAGCTGCGAGGCTAATGTAGCTAACAAGTAAGGGAAACTTATGGCCACCAAGTTAGCATTAGGCTGAGCCTCAAACCATGTAAAATTGTTAAGTAATCTCAAATAGACATGCTTATGAAGTTTCTGACACTGTATGACTTGGTTGGATGGATGAAAGTATGGACAATATTCATGCTTTAAGATGGCTGTGTTTAGTGTTTTTAGCTATATGGCATCTTTCTGTCCATTTTTATAGTTAGCAAATGCCCCACAGAGAATAAACTGACACTTTTTGCAAATCTTAGTGCACAATTTGTGTTTATTTACTGAATCTAGCATAGTGAACATAAAATAAAAAATGTGCCGTAGCTTTTGTACAAACCACTTTCATGTTTTAATTTTTCCAGAAAATAAGCAGTAATTGTGCATTGAACTGTGCACATTAAAGTGTGTTCCCTCTATAAGATGTGTTAACTTATTTTCACTTAAAAAAAACATGTCATTTGACAAGGGATGCCCAAACCTTTGTATACAACTGTGTGTGATGGTTTAGGCCTGCAATTTGCACAGTGCTAAACTGGTGTTTGTAAGCTTGCGATGATGGTTATGTCAGTTGAATCTGTGTAGCTGTTTTGGCTAAATGCTAACCCCTGTGTTGGTGTGCTAGAGCTGAGGGCAGCAGTAAGATCCAGGCTCGGATAGAGCAACAGTCAGTGAGAGCCACTCAGCCTCCCTCACAGTTCCGCACGCCTACCAAGCCGAGCACAGGGGCCAAAACATCCCCCACTAAAGACAACCCCTCCCCTGAGCCCCAGCTGGATGACATCAAAAGAGGTAATTTCCCACTCTCTTGGAGCTGCTTTACTTTTTTTCTTTATATGAAGCACCACATTGACCTGGCTGGTCACATACGCATGCTCATAATCTTAGAAGGCTGAAGGTTAGCCACAAGGGGGCACTATTGGCGCTCAAATATTGTGAGCATCTTATCATTGAAAGGGAGGATACTGGTTTGAACCCTCATCAGCAGGATCTCACGAATTTTCAGTAAAAAATATTATGTATGTGAAGGAAAAAGCCTGAAACCAGAACTGGCTTGTTTCATAGAGTTGAACTAGGTAGTTGTCTAGAGCAGCATCAGAGTAACAGTACTTTAGACTGGGCAGAAGAACCCAAAGGCACCAGGGTGCAGCGGTTTCCCATTGTTATTCAGTTCATTCAGCTCATGAAGGGCTTGATTTCATCATGAGTTGCATAAGATTGTTTGGCAACTTTGCAATGCAGTAACGGTCACTACAGCAGTTCATCACCCACTTCTCTCTTTCTTTGTTTTTTTTTCTTTCTCCCTCGTTCTTTTCTCTCCATTTCAGAGAGAAAAGCATTCATGGCTTTGATTAAAATTACTCATTATTATGGTTTTGACAGCTGGCTCAGACCCATTTAATCTCTCTCTCTGTCTCTCTGTTTATTTCTTGCCTTATTTTTCTTTCTTTCTTTCTTTCTTTTCTGTCTTCTTCATATTTCTCTTTTTCTTTCTTTTTCTCTTTGCTTCTCTTTTTATTTTTCTTTCTTTTCCATTTCCCTCTCACTCCTTCTGTCCCTTTTTCTTTCTCTTTTCTTTCCCTTTCTTTCTTTTTTCTTTTTTTTCTCTCTGTTCTTTCCATATTTCTTTCTCTCCTCTCTTCATATTTTTCTTTCTCTCTCTTCTCTTTTCTCTCACTGTATCTGTCTTTCTTTCTTTCTTTGTTGCTTTATTTGTTTGTTTGTTTCTTTTTTTCTTTCTTTGTCTGTCTCATTTTAGAGGGGAGAAGAGAACAATTATAGCTTAGGTAAAATGACTCCATTATGAGGCTCTTAATAGCTCATTTCCACTCTCTCTCTCAGAACTGCGAGCAGAGGTGGAGGTTATAGAGCAGATGAGCAGCAGCGGCAGCAGTAGCTCCTCAGACTCGGGCAGCTGTTCGGGCAGCGGGGACGACAGCTCCAGCAGCGACGGAGAGCAGGACACCCATAATCCTCATGGCCACACCCACCTCTCCCCCAGCCGAGACCCTCTGGCCAACGGCACGGACAAAGCGCAGGGCAGCAACCAGCTAATGAACACACTCAGTGAGTGTCAGACGTGACACCTGCACAAGCTAAAAATCAACAGATCTAAGCTATAGAAGTGGAGAGTTGGTTTGCTCTACTGTTCAAATGCAATTACACAGTGACATTTAATTACACAGTGAGTTATACAACGTGATTTACATTCTGTATCGACAGGTTAGAGTCTGCACTTCTGACTTTTTCTGTTTGTTTTGCTGTCAAGAAATTATAAATGCACAAATGTGGTATAGATTGAAAGCTCTGACAGAATTTCACAATTTGTTTCAAGCTATGCGTTTTTAAGGGTTAAAGAAATGTAGCTCTCAAAATGTAAATGTGGCTGATTATGAATGAACCAATGAAATCTGCATTGAAGTGAATTAATTGGTCTACATTAGGACCAACTAGCTTGATCTTATTTGCAACAAAACTTTTTTGTGTGGTACATAATGCTGTTTTTGCTTTATCCTCAGGGAATGATCTGCAGCTGAGTGAATCGGGAAGCGACAGTGACGATGATTGACGGCTGCCCTTCATCACTCGCCCAGCGTGGATCTCTGTCTCTTTCTTTCTAAGCGCTGTGTCCTGCTCTCTGTCAGCTGCCCTCCTTTTGCATTTTTGAGCTGTCAGCCCTTTTGCAGTGTTTAGTCTTCGTATGTTTTTCCCATATCTCCTCAAAGTTCATAGAGTGTATTTTTTATTAGATGTATATTTTAAGGTTCTAGTGCAGAGTTGGAACATATAAGTAGGTGTAAAAAATCTTAGCATAGAGTTGTCTGCAAAAAACTTGGACAACCCCGGGCCACATCACACATTGTGTTGATTTTTAAAGTGAAAGGAAGTAAACGTAACCTCTGCAGCAAACTATTTAAAAAATTACGTTTTTCTGCAAAAGTCAATGTCTGAATTGTGCAAAACAACATTATATAAGTCAGAGGCATTTTGTAAGCAAGTGCTGTGGAAAATTGGAAATCTTTGACCAAATGTATGTTTGGAGAAAACAGGAACAGCATATGATGAAAGAAACACCTTGCCAACTGCAAAGCACGGGGGTATATCTATTATGCTTTGGGGTTGTTTGGCAGCCAGTAGCACAGGAAACATTGCATGGATAGATAGAAGAAATGGATCCATTAAATATCAGCAAATTCTGGAAGCAAATGTGACAGTCAGTCAAGAAACTGAAAAGCTAAAAAGAGGCTGGCTTCTACAGCAGGACAGTGATCCAAAATATACCTCAAAATCCACCATGAACTACTCCAAGAAATGCAACCTGAAGCTTTTAGAATGACCCTCAAAGTCCCCTGACTTGAATATCATTAAAAATCTGTGGTGTTCTGTGCTCTCTGAAAGAAAGAATGGGTGAAAATTCTTAAAACAAAAACAGAAAGTCTCCTAGCTGGCGACAAAAAGCATTTGCGATCTGTGGAATCTGCCAAAAGGGAATGTTATGTACTGACGTAGTAGGGCGTTTAAACTTTTGCACATGCCATAATTACTATTTTTCTACTTTTTAATTTAAGTAACTGTGAATTAACATTTGCTGTAGAGGATGTTGTTTCTTCTTTTCACAAAAATCAACAACATATGTAATTTGGCCAGGGGTGCCTAAACTTTTGCATACAACTATACTTATTCAAAAAGAAATGTGTTAATTTATATGCAGTGTTTTCATGAAGTAAAATTTAAGCTACTAGAATGTTGCCAAGTTGGAATCATTTGGCAAGAAGGTCATATGGCATGTCACTTACTCTCTACGGAGGTTTTACTGAAGCAGACAGAAACCAGTGTTGTCTGTTAGATGAAATGAAAAACTAAATTCTGAGCTGGTGAACAGATTTTAGCCTAAATGTAGCTTTTAGCCAGTATACAGATTTTAGCCTAAATGACTGTAGTAAATGTAAACTGAAAATTTACTTTACGATTCAAATGCTGAAATTTCTAATGCTTATTGCTCATTCTGTGATGCAGCATCTTGAAATTGAATTTTCTTTATTGCCTAAATTGCTAATAATTAAAGAGCAATAAGCAGCTGTTTGTCTTTTGCTTGAATGATGAATTTGTGACTTGACCACTGCAGTCACTGTATGGCACTGTATTGCATCACATCTACTAACATTAAGTAAGATTAATTGTTCACTGCAGGGTAGTGGTTACAGTTTATTTATTATTATTTTCAAATATTGTAATTTTGTTCATATCCAGGAATATATTTCAGTCAAGAACATAAAGCTGAGGCTACAGTGGGCACAGGCTCACCAAAATTGGACAGTTGAAGATCGGAACAACGTAGCCTCATCTGCTGAATCTCAATTTCTGCCAAAGCACACAGATGGTAGGGTCCAAATTTAGCGCCAAGAGTATGAATCCATGTGTCCTGTGTCAACAATCCAGGCTGGTGGAGGTGGTGTAATGGTGTGGGGAATGTTTTGTTTGTCACACTGTCTGTTAATATCATGAAATATCCACAGCCTATTTGAGTATTGTTGCTGACCAAGTGTTTTCCTTCAGGGCCACAGTTTAGCCATTTTGTAATGGCTACTTCCAGCAGGACAATGCACTATGTCACAAAGCAAAAGTCGTCTCAAACTGGTTTCATGAACATGACAGTGAGTTCATTGTATCCTTCCCTGTCACCAGATCTGAATCCAATAGAGCACCTTTGGGATGTGGTAGAACAGCAGATTTACAGCATGAAAGCGCACCTGAAAAATTAAACTGTAAGGTGCAAACATGGACCAGAATCTCAAAGGAATGTTTCCAATATTTTGTGGAATCCCTGCCACAAAGAACTAGTATTAGTGTAGTGTTCCTAATAAAGTACTTGATTAGTGTGCATAGTATAGAACACATAGAATATAATACAAGGCACATTTAATATCTGCTTTTCCTTCACTCTGCAGTCTAATTCATCCCAAACCATCTCATTTGGGTTTAGGTCGGGTGATTGTGGAGGCCAGGTCATCTGACTCAGCACTCCATCACTCTCCTCCTTAGTCAAATACCCTTTACATAGCCTGGAGGTGTGTTTGGGGTCATTGTCCTGTTGAAAAACAAATTATGGTCCCACTAAGCGCAGTCCAGATGGGATGGCACTGCAGAATGCTGTGGTAGCCATGCTAGTTAAGTGTTTCTTGAATTTTGAATAAATCACCAACAATGTCACCAGCAAAGCACCCCCACACCATCACACCTCCTTCTCTATGCTTCACACTGGGAACCACACAAGTAGAAACGCTCCATTCACCTTTTCTGAGTCTCACAAAAACATGGCGGCTGGAACCAAAATGTAAAATTTCAACTCATCAGACAACTCTCTTCTTGTCCTCAATAGTGGCTTCTTTGCTACAATTTGACCATAAAGGCTGGATTTCCACAGTCTCCTCTGAAGCATTCATAGGCTTTCTTGGGGCGGTCCTCATGAGAGCCAGTTTCATCATAGCGTTTGAGGATACATTAACTTTTCCGGATTGACTGACCTTCATGATCTTAAAGTAATGATGGACTGTCATTTCTCTTTACCTAGTTGAGTGGTCCTTGCCATAATATGGATTAAAAAAAGTAGTCGAATAGGGCTATTCACTGTATAGAACTGTGTACCAACCCTACCTCTGCACAACAAAACTGATGGTCTCAAACACATTAAGAAGGCAAGCAATTCCACAAATTTACTTTTGACAAGGCACACCTGTTAACTGAAAACCATTCCAGGTGACTACCTCATGAAGCTGATTCAGAGAATACCAAGAGTGTGCAAAGCTGTCACCAAAGCCATAGGAGGCTACTTTGAAGAATCTAAAGTATAAAACATATTCTGGTGTGTTTAACACTTTTTTGTTTACATAATTCCACGTGTTCCTTCATGCTTTCGATGTCCCTCAATATTAACCTACAATGAAGAAACTAACAAAAATAAAGAAAAATCACTGAATAAGAAGGTGCCTCCAAACTTTTGACTGGAACTGCATACATGTATGTATGTGTAATTTTTCTAAAATCTTAAATATTGAATTTTTCAGAAGTTTAGAAAATTTTCATTAAGGCGTTTACACGATTAGAGGTAGCTTTGCTGGGACTTTTATTTTGGCCGGTATGTCTCCTACGGCTCCTCACTTACCGTTAGTGTCAGTGCCATGACAACAGCGCTGTGAGCGGACGCCAGTAATGCAGGCTGGAGATGTGAACCTCTGAATAACTGTTAAGAGCTTCAGGACATCTTCTCCGAGCACAAAGTGAAGGTAGACCGCGATATTTTCTTATCATTGCGCAATACCGACCAAGAAAGTAGCAGCTTTGGACGAACACCCTCATTGAAAATGAGCCTGAAGCAGGTTAGCGTTACTAGGTTCGCCTCCTCTGGCACTGAGCTAACCTAGCTCACCGAGCTAACTAACGCTAGCTAATTAGAGTAACTTACTTAAGATGCTTAACGTTGTTATCGCCCACCAAACGTTCCTCTTCGTATTTTAGCTGTGCACCCAGGAGCGACCCTGTAAACCCCATTAACAGTTTTTTTTCCAGAGAGTAGCGGGTTTTCTTCCTCAAGTTTAGCTGCAGAATGAATGTTGGTATTGTTTGCTTGCTTTTGGCTAAACTTGCTAATCCGTCCATCTTCACACACTTAACCTGCATCACTGCATAACTGGCTAACGTTGCCTTTCACTTGAGTTAGAGTTAAACCGTTCAACAGGTGAGGAGCTGGATTTTTATGACAGTCGTTATAAAACATACCCTGGAGAATTTTGTAAATGTTAATAAAACAAAGTGCTAGGATAGTAGGGATTATATTGTGTGGATATCAAAGGGGAACTCCGCCAGTTTTTCAAAATCTCTGAATAATGTGGTCTTTGAGATGTAAACAGAGTCATTCAGAGTGGTCTGATGTGAAATAGTTCATTTTTGGGAAACTTACAGGCTCTGATTTCCCTGCAGTGGTGATGATAAGAACCAGGGGGGTTGCCGTGTCTAAAACACAAATAAAGTCATTTTGTTTATTATCCAAAACCACCAGTTAACCTACACAAGTCTTCTCAGTGTGTATGTGTAATGTTGATGATGGTAAAATAGTGGTAAATCTGAAAAAGTGATTTTTCTTTGGGGACTATTTTGTACCTCTCTGCCATTAACACATCAAAATAAATGGATTAAAATGCATTTTAAGCCAAAACATTATCACAAAACTATCATAAGACAATGTGTCGGACATTAGAGATGTATGTCGAACCATTTTCGTGTAATAATGTTCTGTGAGGGAGATTTCAGTGGCATTAAACTCTTCAGACGTCTGGTTCCCATCACCACCACTGTGAACAATTTTGACTTGGAAAGTTTCTCTGGAATGGAGCATTTCACACCAAACCGCTCTGAATGACTTTGTTTACTTGTGTAGTATTTTGGAAAAATCAGTGGAGTTCCCCTTTAGGTATGCCAAGTATAAGCTAGGGGTGAGTGATAGGGCAATAATGTTGTGATGCTTTGTGAGGTTTGATAAGTTACAACAGACAATGCATCATTTAAATACCACATTTAAAAACAAAGAGACTATGAAACACAGCCTGTACAATGATTTATATTCAACATTTTGCATGTTATGCTGCACTAAATCCCTTTAAACAGGACAAGTCATGCTGTTTTAATTGAAACAAACAGTTGGTCAGCGTTACTGATGATGTCTCTGATATATGTAGAAGTGGGGGTGACCAATATGACCGTATTTATTGTTACTGTAATAAATTACATCACACTGTGTCAAATTATGCTTTTAGGTTCTTCTTCATGCCACTATGTTGTCCTGTAGACCCTTCAATGGCAGAGCTGACATTAGAATTTCAATCTATTCATTGCACTGTGTCTTAGCCTTCTCACCAATAGCTGCATTCTCTCTCTCTCTCTCTCTCTCTCTCTCTCTCTCTCTCTCTCTCTCTCTCTCTCTCTCCTGCCATCTATCTCTCTTTCCCTGCTGTGGGCCCGCTGGATTAGCTGTCTCTTCCACCTGCTCAGCAGTCAGCAATTAGGAAAGCCGCTTGGCTACTAATGAAATCCATGGTCATGTGATGCATCTGCTTGGTCAGTGTGAGCCAAGAGTCCAGTCAGTAGCACACTGGGGCTTGCTTCAGATCACTGATGGTCCTGGGATGCTCTGGAAGGCAGCATGTTAGTATGGCTTTAAAGTGAGGTCTTGAGGTCAATGACTTGGACTAAGCCTAAAACTGCAGATCGTCACTGTCCAAGGAAAAATGTGTGTCTCTATTGTTGCAGTAACAGAGTACATATGATTCTATGGCCTGTTAGGATTTGTTGCTCAGTGTTGAGCAAAACGCCCGGCCCATTCGGATAAACACACCCATTCACCTGGCCTTCAGACTTTTTCTGCCGTAGCTGACGTTTCACATCTAGATGTCGATGGACAGGACGGTGTATAAGAGTGATGTCACTTATTGCTAATATTTAAATTTCTGTTTTAGTGACTGTTTCAGCAGACACTGTCGTCGATATTCACAGGCTCTCTGTCCACCCTACAGTAAGCTGACCAGCTGGGCAGTTAGATAACGTGCCGAGCAATTTAGCCTTTAGTAATGTTCACAGACAGGCTTTAAGTTTGAGTCTTTACTGAGGGAGTCAACATCCACACTGCAACATCTAAAGAGAAGAGTATGTCACTTGATTGCTATGAGCTTCAAACGTCTGTGTTCAAGCCAGAGAGCCAGTGAACATACCTGACCAATAGCTAACATAACACTGAAAGTCTCTTGCAAAAAAGCCAAACATGTATAATATTACTAAACTGTGCTCTGCTGCAGCCACTCTTGGCCTCTGCTCAGTGTCTACACCTCCTAATCCACCCCCTCTCTTTAGACAACCAGTGGGAGTAGAGGTCATTAACATACGAAATCTAATTAAGAATTTCAAAAAAAAGTGTGTGTCCTTTAAATCAACCTCTGGTCTCATTTACATATTTTATGTTATTTACGTAAATTAAAATCTTAAAGGCACAGTAACCAAAACAGTCGGTTTAATTATGAGGGTTAAAGAGAGGCTGGAAAACGGTCATGCAAAAGTCAGTTCTGACTGTTATTAGTCATTAATGGACCTCAAGGTAAAAAAAACCCTAAAATATAAGTAAAATGATGAAACATTTCACTTACAATTAAATTAAAAGTCAGTGTTTACAACGTGATAGCAGAACGAATCCAAGAAAACACTTAAAGGGGCATTTTGGCCATACTAAAAAACGTAACCATCGACTCCTTCATTGGGATTTGCAGTAGTTGTGGGGGTCTAGGAAAATCACCCGCCAGTGATGTATCTTGAAGGTGGGTAGTCTCCCAGGGCAAGCATATTTTGACGTAATGTGCTGGAATTTATTACAGTAATGACAAATACTGTTGCATTAGTCACCCCTGTTTCTGCACATATTGTGGACATCTTGACATCGCTTGACTTTTTAGGATGGTAACAATGTGAAATTTCTAAACAAAAAGGCAGTAAGAATTTTCGAAGGTGGAGCTCAAAGTAGGGGCAATGGTAAGCTTATCAGCATTGTCCAGTGTCCCTAAAACTCCCATGAAGCATGTAGACGTGTAGTGGCTGATTGTAGCCTTAGCCGTTCGCAGCGCACACTCTGATAAAACTAAATTGAGCAACGTTTCTCATTTTTTTTTAAAAACTATAGTGTTTTGCTGGCCAGCTTGTTTTGCTTGTGTTGTCTATTGTACTCCAGACTAGAGGAGTTTGTGGGTGGGTTTTAGGGCAGATTTCACTAAAGTACAGCACCAAATGTTTAACAAGTCGTCCCCAGATGTGCATTCTCGGTATGAGATCATGTCTGGCCCAGTGAGAATAGATGGTGGGAGGAACTTTAGAAAAGCTTTGGAGGGGTGCTTTGGGGCAGATGCTTAAGGTTGGACTATTTAAATTTTTTTTTCTAATGTAGATCAAAGCCAGACGGCTAATAAATGGATTGGACCGTGAACGCGGCATTTAATATGTTAGCAATTCCTTCCGCCAAATTATAGTTCCTTGACAAGCAGCTTGTTGCTACGTCAGAGTAACAAACTCCGCTCACTCGCTGCACAGCCGGCAGTTCGTTCTCCAGCTCCTTGTTTTGTTCCAGCCAGTCTGTAAAGCATCTTACAGCCCATTTAGTTTGGCGAATGGTACTCTGTTCATTTCTGGCTGATCCCAGGTTGTTTAGCTGTTCTTCTGTCACAGCTGCCAATTGAAAAGCTGCTCAGTGGTGATGACAGTTTGGGAATTTAGTGTCGTCTCATCTTCAGAGTCTGACCAAATCGGCTGTTGGTCAAATGTGATCTTAAAAGTATCCATTTTCTGTTTGTGGCTAAGTATAAAGTAAAAACGTTCAAATGGCTTGAGCGTCTCCTACAGCTGTCAAAGTCGTTGTCTCAGTGAAGTGATACAGTGTGAAAAAAAGAACGCTTCACCTCAACCAATCAGCTTGCCTGGCCCGAACTAACTTTTGCATAATTTTGCGTAATGCATGCTGGGTATTGTAGTGAGAGAACACTGATGAATGAAAGTACAAAACAGGACATGAAACTGTGAAACTCAATCAAATTAATCAAAGGGATTCTCTTTATTTCAGAAACATGTTGATGGGCAATCTTTACAAGCTTTTGGATGTGTACTGTATTTATAACAGTGCTCAATCTTTTTGTTTTCTCATACAGCTGCAAGATGTCTCTGTTCAAGGCACGGGACTGGTGGTCAGCAGTACTGGGTGAAGGAGAGGAGTTTGACCAGGGCTGCTTGTGTGTCAGTGATGTGGACAATAGCGGCAGTGGCTATGGTCAGTGGAAATATAGAAACATGCTCACACATCATTTATATTATTTGAAAGGTTTATGGAGGCAGCTGTATGGCTCAGATTTAAGGATGTCGATATAAGAATGCTAGGCCAAAGTGCAGCATGTGTTTGGTTCATGTTCATGTCATATCAGGGTGAAGCTGTGGAGGAATAGCACAATAATGAATTTTTGGTTAGCCTGCATCGATAAAACAATAAAGGACCAGTAACATGGAAAACTCTTTTAAGAACAGTTTGATGGAGTTTGTAAACACTGTTAAGAAGTGTATATGTGTGAGGTTTGATGTATTTAAGAAGTGTTTTATAGATGTTAGTAAACAGTGTAAGAGTTATAGTGTTGAAAAAGGGGAATTCCAGCATTTTAATTGACATAATTCAGTTAATGTAAACAAAGTCGTTGTGAAATCTGTAACAAAACATAACCATTTTATTTACTGTCCAAAAGTCGTAAACCAGCCAACCTGTATACTTGTCTTTTGTAAGTAATGTATGTATGTATGTGTGTATGTGTGTGTGTGTGTGTGTATATATACACTGTTCAGCTGGCAGAAGTTTAACCCATCTGTTGTCCTTGAAGTCCTAAAGACTGTGTTTTGAACAAGGCTCAATACCGGGTAGCCAATCAGAACAGGGCCTGTTTAATTCTAAGGGATAAAGAGCAGTTGAAAATACTCATATAAAATTCATTTATGGCAGCTTTTAGTGCATAAAATAACACATATCATGAGCAGACTTCAAGGAGAAAATTAAAAATAAGTAAAATGTGGGATAAGGGCCCTCTAAGCAAAAATGACATACTGATGCTTTCCTTTATGTCCAAAAACCTCTCTGTCTCTCTGTATAATTTTGAGTTTGAATAGACGTGAATGTACTTTTTCTCCCTGATGGCAGTTTGTATTTTGTCTTTTTTTCCATGTAGTCTTACATGCAAATACCACTCAAAATGTTCCATACCATAAACCTACACTGTAAGGTTGTGTCTCTTGTTGCAGATAAGGTAGTGGTGGGCAGCTACATGGGTATGCTTCGGATTTTTGCTCCTCATGCAAGCAAACCAGGCGAGCAGACCGTAGCAGACGCCCAGCTGCTGGAGGTGCAGCTGCGGGACCCCATCATCCAGGTGGAAGTGGGCAAGTTTGTCTCGTAAGTTGCATGACTTAAGAATCCTTTTGACCTTAATACTGACCAGTCCTCAGAAACATGCCACGGCCACAGTGGTATCGGATGGAAAAAACCCTTTAATGCAATAGATTTCAGTTTGGCACCCTATTAAATAACTATACTAGCTTCTTTAACTTCTTATTCCAGCTTCCAACACACCTGAACCAGGTAGTCACTAGTATGTAGTACATGCTTCCCTGGCTAAGGTATGTGAAAAGTGACAGAGTCTCAGAGGATGGGGTTAGGAACTACTGCTGTGTGAGGTTTGATGTCTTTAATAAGTGTTTTAAAGACGTTAGTAAAAGAGTCGTAAAAAGGAATTGTATTGTTGAAAGTGGGTCGAGTATTGAAGTGGAATTCTACCATTGTCAAAAAACAATCTGCATAGTTCAGTTGATGTAAACAAAGTAATTCAGAGTGACTTGATGTTAAGTGGTTCATGGTAGAGAAATGTACAGACTGATCCTTTACAGTGGTGCTTTACATTCTAGAGACTCTGATTCAGTGGCGATAGGAACCAGATTTTTCGTAAGTCTCTAAAACCTATTTCACAAGAGGTTATTACTAAATGAATATATGGTTATAAATATGTTAAAGAGATGCTTCAGACATTGGTTTACAAGAATTTTGATGTCAGGGTTTAGCCTAAACATTTTTAAAAACATTTAAAAGCCATTCGTTCCACAGTGCTACAATGCAGGACATTACAAGTCACAACAGGATCCAACGAATCTTTTTTTCAGATTTATCACTATTTTATCATCATCAGCATTACATATGTAATCTCAGAAGACATGTGTAGGTCCCTGTAGGTGATTTTGGGTAGTAAATAAAATGGCTACATTTTCATGGACCCCTGGTTCCTATCACCACTTCTGTATTGAAATCCATGTCGGTAGGTTCCTCTATAGTGGACAGTTCACATGAGAGCACTCTGGATGACTTATCACAACATTTGAATTATGAAGAAACTTTGGAAAAATAGTGAAATTCCCCTTTAAGAGCAATGAACCTGTGAAATGGTGGGAGCTTTTTCTGTCGTACCATTCAGAAAGTATGTTTTCTAACATCAGTTTTAGATGTAATGCATTCACATAACCCAGCTTATGTAAAACAAGTAGAAACAAATAGATCAATGGAAAACCAGATGCGGGGAAAATTGTAAAAAAGCGGCGATAAATCTGTACATGCTTTTGAGGTTGGACAGTTTTGCTTTCACACAAGAATGCCTGGGTGTTTAAGCCAGAGTTATTCTGAATAGCTATTCACATAAAGTCAAAATTAGAAGATTTGTTGGTCGGAGTTGTCAAGCCTCTTGATGTGCACTCATTTGGCCCCATACTTTTGTTTTATTTTAGTCCTTTTCAGTTTACTGGTGTGACATGTGGTTGACGGAACGGTAAGACACTGAGTGTGTTGCTCTGATGGTCTTGCAAACACACACACACACACACACACACACACATAAAGTCTACAAAGGAACATCAGGCAGCTCTCCACATTCTCCCCACAGCATTACACTCTGTGGTCACGATCCCTGGCTGTTTGTTTGTCTCTAAGTGTTTTTGCATTTCTCTTAAGTCAAAGTCTGTTTTTGGTTATTCCTGATCCGTTTGCTGCTCAGGGAAAGAATCTTTGCTGAAACCTATTTGTAAAAAGAATCACTTTTACCTGTATCTTGGCACATCATCACTACAGTGAGGATGACAGTCACCAGCTAACTTGCTTTACTGTAGCTACTATGAACAGAGGTTTTAAACAGAACACATGATTACTGACATTTAACTACCTAGTTAATAACTGACAGCATACCATGGCGGTCAAGGCTAGTTAACCACACGCCTACCTTTTACAGCCCCAGGCTTAGATATCTGGTTCAAAAAGTTGATTTTCTTGTCCTTTTTTGCAGTGCTGAAATTTTCATGATCACGGTCAACTTCTACAACTTTCTTAGTTTGCTTGCTATCTGCGCATGCTAACTTTCCACCATGTGCAGAAACAGCCTAATAGGATAATGCTGTTATATGTGGGCGTTAAGAAAAAAGCATCATTCTGTGTTTTATTGCAAAATAGATATAAAACTGTGGTGGGAGCCAACAGATGACTGCATGCAGCCATGGAATATTAATAGTAACGTTTTATGCATAATAGTAATGTTTACCGATCACTTTTTATACTGGCAGCTCAAATTGCTTTACAGACAGGTGCTAAAATTTAACAGAAGAAAGTAGAGATGAGTTTCTTCTGTTACTGTTAATGAACAAAAAGTGAAAATGAATTAAAGTTATTTTATGAAATGAATAAAAGTTAAGAGTAATAAAGCAAAGACACAAATCAAATTAAAAAGATAATGTATATGTTGCTCTGGCCTGAAAATCGGTGGTGTTCTAAAGAGAGCTTTGGTAACTGCTTTCATTTCTTTAAGGTAGAAAAAAGACGCAAAGATGAAAGAATTCAGCTCGTTTGTTTTTGTCCATTATTAAACCTGTGAAAAGACAAATTGCATTGTTTTGTTTTTTTGAGCAGTTAGAGATATGAAAGGGCCTGCCTTCTAAGTGAGGGGGCCCTCCACCCACTCCATAACTGTGCTGCTATGTCTATTATGTAAAAAGTCATTGGTGATTTTGATTGTTGAATCATTATTTACTTAAAAAAGCCTTGTAATGTGGGTATAATGATACACTGTTTTTAAGGCTCAATGCAGTTTTCTGAGATCAGTATTCAAATGGATTTTTAATGTTTTTATAAATTGTTGGATATTTTAAAAAAGCTCCAATTATACATTTTTCTAGTATAAATATAGTTTTAGTATTAGTATAGTATAATTACAGTTTCCACAATTGTCAGTGATTTCCACAAAAGATGGCAAATAAGAGACACTTAGAGGAACTAAGTTGTGATACAGCTCTAAATTTTGATGCCCTGTTTCAAATATTTTTTTTCTATTTTACGACACTGATTAAATGATAACACCATTCCTCTACAGTCTACAATGATACACATGGTCCTTGGAATACATTATCATGGAGATTGGCTAGTGAAAAACAAAAAGGTTCTAGACAAGGCATGAACACCATTGCTGTATTAGTAAGAGTGTACACTGTTACGTTAGTCTGCCAAGAAAACAAATGTAAAAACTTTAATTCACATTTATTTTCACATTATAAGAACATATCACTGAAATTGAATGAGATTAGTTGATTCATTCAAAAGGTGATTTGATTGCCCTCTGTGTTATCTGTGTTCCTCCAGGTGCTCAGAGCTGCTTCACTTGGCGGTGCTGCATCCCAGAAAGCTCTCTGTCTATGCTGTCTCAGGTTACTGCCCTCACTGTTAAACATCTGCTTCTTGCCTTTGCACATACCCTGTTCTTTTTTCTGGCCCAGATTTAGCTAATTAAATCTTGTTTTCCACCTCATCTTCACTCTTTAACAGCACAAAAGCCCTTTTAAAAATACTTGAAGCTCTTGTAGGTTGATTGTGCCTTTTCAGACAGTACACAGCTCTCTACTTAATGTAGTAATATTGGGCTCTGCCGTTTTCAGGCACTGCTGGAAATGTTGAACATGGGGACCAGTACCAGCTCAGACTGGTCTACGAACACAACCTGCAGAGGACAGCCTGCAACATGACATACGGCCCTTTTGGAGGGGTCACTGGTAAGATTTTAGTCATGTGACTTGATACTGGTTGATACTCTTTCTGCATGCTTCTGCTAAAAAATCTGTAAATTTTGCAGTGCATTTTTTTTACATACACCATTGACAAAGCCTGTTTAATGATAGTGTTTTATCACTGTATTCTGTTTATATTGATTGAATATGTGAAAACTCATAATGATATTTAGAAAACAGGATTTTTAATCATCACTGTTATAACAAGATCTCCAAAATCGTAACTTTATAACAGAATGAAATTATGTTTTAACTGCAAACCTCAGTGCATAAAATAACAGCATGCTTCTGTGATGGATATCATCATATGGGCTCGGGAATACTTTGACAAGTTGTTTTTAATAAGCACCATTGTAGATGCCCCCACAAATGCGCACCGACTTCTCTGAGCTTGAGCTAAAATGAAATGAACTGATACAGACTGGAAACGTGTAATGCGGTCTGACTAGTCAACCTTCCAGATTGTTTATGGAAATGATAGACGGTGTGTTCTCTGGCCAAAGAAGTAAAGGACCATCCAGACTGTTACCAGTATAAAATTCAAAAGCCAGGTTCTGTCATGGTATGGGGGAATATTAGTGCTCAGGACATGGGTAACTGCATTTTTGAAACATTAAAACTGAAAGATAGACACAGATTTTAGAGCTACGTATGCCGACCTCTAGACAACATTTTTACGGAGAAGCCACTTTCTGCACATGTTACAGTAGCATGGCTGCATAAGCAGAAAGTGCAGATTAGTGGTGTTTCCCACTGAAAACATGTGAAGCGCAAAATATGACAACAAAGGCCCTGTACAGTTGCACAGCTGAAGACTTGTATAATGGAAAAAAGGCAAAAAATTCTGCTTTCAAAAGTGGTTCAATTGGTGTCTTCAGTCCTCAAATAAATACATAAAGTGTTGTTGAAAGGAAAGGTGAGATAACACATTGGTAAACAGGGTCCTGTCCCAAATTTTTAAAACATGTTTGCAGACATCGTATTTGGCATAAGTATATTTACAAAGAAATACAGGTGAGACACAATTTACTAATGGAATTACATTGCTTTCAGTTTATATTAGCGTTTCACATACTGTCCCAACTTTTTTGGGAAATGAGGTTTATGTAATGTACATTTGTTCCAAGTAATTCTGGGCCATTTCTGTTGATCCAGTCGATATGAAACTTTCACACAAAGTAAAGGGCACATGGTATTTTTAAATACATTTTTTTCACGTCAGACAAGTGGAGGAAATACTCCATCAACAGAGTGACACTACTTACAGAGACAAAGTGCAAAATGGAGTCATTTACTGCCCGCTAGATTGTGCGCAAACCTTTCATCCTCCACGGACAGGATAAAGCGAGTGGATTAAAATAAACCTCCTATAAATATAGCGAGGGTCACTCCTCTAATGCTTAAGAGGATCTTGGTCTTATACTGTATTTCTCTGCTGTGGTCACTATAATCATTGACCACAAGATGGCAGCAGAGGTTGTCTTTAAATCACTCTGTTTAAACCGTGAGGCGCAGCATGTCCATACAGCGCGCTCGGGGTACTAAATGTCTTTTTCGGCTTTGGCTTCTGTGAGGGGGTATTGCTAAGTCTCACTCCAGAGCCGTTTGAGAGGGTGGAAACATTTGGGAAGCAATCTTCACAAATGACCTAATTAATCATCTATATGGTGATATTAATGAGGTCCCCTGAGCAGAGGGAAATCCAGGAATTGGGAAAAAGACGGTTCTGAAAGGACTGTACTGTATGGGCCATTGAGTCTGCTGGGTGGCCTGGTGCTGACCCAAACTGCGTCTGGCCAAAGCCATGCTATTATACTACTTAGACTGCATTAAAAGCCATTACTCTGAACTGAACATTCCAAAAATCATTAACACTCACTCTCACCTACTTTCGCTGTCCCTCTCACACTCATTAGCTGCCCATATGTGGGCTGTGTGTGAGAGGAGTGTGTGTCTGGCTCTGTTGGTGGTTCTCGCTGACCCCTCAAGAACGAGTGTGTGATTTTTAACAGTGTATAGAGGCCTAATTACTGCTCTCGCATGCAGCAGCCGTTGTGTTTTACAGCACTGCGCTTTATGGCATAGAGCTGCCCTCATTTTCTGAGTCATAAAGTGAGCACCATGCGCTCTAGAACGGTGGGAACACACTGTACCACTAGAGCTGGGGATGTTCGCTAAGGCTGTTGGTTATGATGATAATTAAGAAGCGATAACTTATGATTAAAATAGTATGCCTTTTTTTCAGTGCAAGCAGAGATCCACCTAACCCTTCCTTTTAACCAAATAGCAAAAAATACCAAGATACGCCTTTCATTATGTGAGAGTTCTTCAGTTGTTAGGACCCCCATGGACCCTCACAGAGCAGGTACTATTTGGGTGGTGGATCATTCTCAGCACTGCAGTAACACTGACATGGTGGTGTGTGTGTGTTGTGCTGGTACGAGTGGATCGGACACAGCAGCGCTGCTGGAGTTTTTAAACAACTCAGTGTCACTGCTGGACTGAGAATAGTCCACCAACCAAAAATATCCAGCCAACAGCGTCCTGTGGGCAGCGCCCTGTAACCACTGATGAAGGACTAGAGGATGACCAACACAAACTGTGCAGCAGCAGATGAGCTATCGTCTCTGACTTTACATCTACAAGGTGGACTGACAAGGTAGGAGTGTCTAATAGAGTGGACAGTGAGTGGACAGTGTTTAAAAACTCCAGCAGCACTGCTGTGTCTGATCCACTCAGACCAGCACAACACACACTAACACACCACCACCACATCAGTGTTACTGCAGTGCTGAGAATGATCCACCACCCAAATAGTACCTGCTCTGTGAGGGTCCATGGGGGTCCTGACCACTGAAGAACAGGGTAAAAGGGGGCAAACAGAGTATGCAGAGAAACAGATGGACTACAGTCTGTAATTGTACTACAAAGTATATAGTAAGTGGAGCTGATAAAATGGACAAGGAGTGTAGAAACAAGTAGGTGGTCATAATGTTATGCCTGATTGGTGTATATCGGCTGCAAATACGAGTAAACATACTTTTTCTAGATAATTATAGAAAAAATAATACATAAGCATGTTTTCATTCTCTCTATAAGCCTACCAACATGAGTAAATAGATATCTAATTCTTTATAAAATTCTTTGTTGGCCTAATGTTTGTTGCCACCATGGTTTACACATTTTACACACAGCTCTGAGTGTGAAGATAATCACGTTTTTGCAGCATATTTTATAGCCCAGTAGTTTGCAATAAAGCAGTTTTTGACCTGTACGTAGGCCGTTTAGCTGAATGGTAAAGTTACTTGTCTCTAGGTGGGAGAGCAGTGGTCAAGCCTAGCCAGGGAAGCACTTGTTGGGCTTCTAACAGGGCTCGTATAACAGAAACATGAATTGAGATAACAATAAAAATCTGATTTATTATGCAGCCCTACTGTCCACCCAAACAGAGCGCAGTACACACGTCAGCATCAGCTTCAGGAAGTCATCAGAAATGCCTGGCATCGAACAACACAACACCAGCCAAGTCCACTTAGCGTGAAACAACAGTCCTCTTTCCATCTAACATGAGCTAATCGGACTCGTTCCACATAGCTGAGCTTGCCAGTGTATTTCTCTTGGTGATAATTGTGTTTGTCTGGATAGTTGTGGTTTCACTGCTATTTGTTATCATTGTGTTTCTCAGTCAGATTTTTCCTCTGCTATGTTGTCTTTGCTCAGGTCACCACTTCATCTGTATCCAGTCTATGGACGGCATGCTGATGTTCTTCGAGCAGGAAAGCTATGCTTTTGGCCGCTTCCTGCCGGGCTTCCTGTTGCCTGGACCACTGTGTTACTGTGCACGCACTGACTCCTTCATCACCGTCTCCTCCGCCCGTCAGGTGGAGTGTTACAGGTCAGAAAGAAAAGGCGAAACCGTGACGAAAGTCAGCCTATCATCACAAACAATTAATATACACTATAAAAATACCAATTGACTTGGATGCAAATCTTGCCAGTACGAAGCCAGGCCATCTTTCTTGTGCCGATGAGGATGGGGATGCCGGTGTTGCTGTTGGGTTGCTCTCATTGCGATGTCCAGTAGGCCTGTTCTTCATGGCTGTTGCAATCAATTAAAAAATGTGCTCCATGTTTTATCCACATCAGTATCACTTAAAGGTCCAATGACTTAAACAAAAAGTGTTCATTCAGCCACAAATCATTGTCTGCAGATGCACTAAAATTGTTTTCCACATGCCATCTCTGTTCAAAATTAGTGTAGTTTTATATAAAAATGTAGCATGCCATATGCTACCCCATGTGAAGGAAGGATGCTGGGGGCAGGAATGAGGGTTGCAGCAGCCATTTTATTTTCCAGACACAAAACACAAACAAAATTGCAATAAATTAAAACTGGCCACCTCTCTGGGGCTACTAGACTTTTCAGTCTTTTTCTCAAACCTGAGCTTTTCTGCTCTTCAGTCTGTTGTTGCTGCTGCTGGTCCCTCTCCTCTCACCCTCTCTCTGTTCTCTCTCTGCTCTTTAAAAGGCGCTTACGCTGCTGATGCCAGATCAGCTTCAGTCGCCTCTCATTAAGGGCAGTATGAGCTCCTGAGCTGAGAGGGAAAGAGAGCTTGTTGCTCTGCTTCCCCGCCACCGCCCCCACTCCGCAACTTGGCCGTCGTGATTGAGCGGGAGGCAAAGTCTTTGTGCCTCTCGTGGCTGTCATGGTCCTCCTGCCCTTTCTCGCGGCTGACGTCCTCCTCCCGTTGTCACTAGCAGTATTTGTTGATGTGCGAGGCTTGGGTACTGCCTTCCTGCCCTCTCTCGTGGCTGTCGTTAGTGCTTGTGGGTCAGGCAAAAGATATTGGGATGAGCTGTTGGGGGGCTTTATTAATGCCTTCGGCTTGCGCCTGGGACCAAATCACAGCCATTGTTTGTTATGGGTGGCAGCACACGGCCTTGAGTGCTCTGTTGCTTATGTACAACGGTTTTGCAGAATGAAGTAAAGCAAAGGAGCCCTGAACATTGTATCAAACATGTCTTAATATCACTTCCTTAGGCCAAAGAAGTAGTAACTCTTTGTGTTACGGATAGAGCGACAACATTGTCACGGTACTAGATTCAGCTCAGCTTTTTCAGTATTTGCTTTGTTAATCAGAATGTGCTCTGTAAGCATTTTATAGCCCTTCATTATATTCATGTTTGGCTATTTCTGCTTTGTTTAGTTCTTGCACCATCACAGCTGCTGACTGAATGAAGTTTGCCTAGGGGCAATGACAGGTTCCAAATTTGATGTAGTCCTGCTGACTTCAGAATCTGACCAAACGGGCTGCAGGTCAAGTATTATCCTAAAGAATTTAGCTAATGTATCATTGGTTTATGTAATATATACCTAAATAGAAACACAGTAACTAGCTAGTAGTGCTCCCCGGAATGATACGGTTGTTGTGGAGAATGCTTCTCATCCAATCAGATTGGCCATTGGAGATATCTGTTGTATAAACCCCTCTAGCAGACACTTGACATTGGGCTTCTCCAATGCGTTCCATCCTTTTAGCAGGAGATTGTACAAGCTGTATGTGTGCAATTGAACACCTTAAAGTGGCTGAATTCACTTATTAGATTAGGTGTTTGGATGCTTTGTATAAATAGCGTATGTAAATGTATTGTTTTTTGTTACATCAAAAAAACAGTGAATTTAGCTTAGTTTCATTTATGGACTACATGGACTGGGAAGTGAATGGTATGTTTTGAGACTTTACATATTGTGTCAAACTCTTTTATTTCAACCTAAAATACTTTAAAATATGCCTGAGCTACAGCAGGCCATTCTCATTCTGCCTTTTCATGCCACCGACCACATCCGCCGTCTCCGGCATGTTTAAATAAAAATGGGGGAGGAGTGGACCGGGGGAAATCTGCGTAAAAATAGCGGCCGTTGGACGGCACAGCTGGCCGAGTGGGCGTCATGTGGCCCCACTGCTATTTCCACAGCTGAGGCCAGTTAGCGGCGCGCTAAGTGAACGTTTTTGTGTCTTAATGAAATTTCCACTCAGCAATCGGCCACCGTTTATTTTTCCTGCGCTCACCGGCCGCACGACAATAATAGAGCCGCGGCAGGCTCGGACTGAAAGCTCTGGACACGAAGCACCAACAATGGATGTGCAGCGTATACGGATGTAAAGCTTTGGGTTTTGTTCTCATATCAGACAGATCCTGCAGACAAGATAGCACGGTAGAAAAGCTGACCTCTCCTTCTGGCTGGTCAGACTGTAGATATCCTCCTCTAATAAAAATAATTAAGAGGAAGAGGGAGTTAGGAGGGGCTCGGTTGAACTCGTGGAATGCTTAGTGTGGAAGGGCTGTCTAACCAGAGTTCAGAGTGATTGTGAAAACTGAGAATGGAGATTTTTACCATTTTAATTGTCCTGATAGGAAAATATTTCAATAGAAAACAAATAAAGTGGAAGTTTTTCCATTTGTTTCTCTGCAGACTTTATTAGCCCTTTTTTTTTTACCTGTTTTTCAATGGTCAGGACCACCACTAAGCAGGTATTATTTGGGTGGTGGATCATTCTCACTACAGTGACACTGATGTGGTGGTGGTGTGTTAGTGTGTGTTGCACTGGTACAAGTGCAACACACACGCATCAGACGCATCAGTGCTGCTGGAGTTTTTAAACACTTCAGTGTCACTGCTGGACTGAGAATAGTCCACCAACCAAAAGTATCCTGCCAACAGCGTCCTGTGGGCAGCGTTTTGTCACCGCTGATGAAGGACTAGAGGATGACCAACACAAACTGCAGCAACAGATGAGCTATCGTCTCTGACTTTACATCTACAAGGTGGACCAGACAGGTGTCTAATAGAATGGACAGTGAGCAGACAGTGTTTAAAGGCTCCAGCAGCACTACTGTGTCTGATCCATACGTACAGCGCAACACACAATAACACACCACCACCACGTCAGTGTCACTGCAGTACTGAGAAAGACCACCACTCAAACAATACCTGCTCTGTGGTGGTCCTGTAGGAGATCCTCACCCTGAAGAACAGGGTAAAAGGGGTAAAAGGGGGCTAAAAGTGGTGCAGTCCAGGCTATCTGAATTTAGGGCCGTCCTGGCTTTCATTTATTTAGCCGGTATGATTGTTTTCCTGCGAGGCGGGAGGGTTTTCGGAGGAAGAAGGTTTGATGTGTGTGCATTTTTGTGCCAGGTCAGAGAGGGATCCTCTTTCATATAAATGACTTCTGCTGTTTCCTCTGGCGGGGTTTCTCCCGTGACGGCCGATGAGTGAATACAACACACACACACACACACACACACACACACACACACCTCTCAGTCAGCAGTGATGAGGCTGAGACCTGAATACCACCTCTGCTTCGAAGGTGGCCAGACCTAAATCGAATCTCGGCAAAGTGCATGTGTGTATATGTCAATGTATATTGTATCTGTGTTGAAGCCAAAGAACACCTAATATTGGCCTTATGAGCAAGCGATATGCGTGTAAGCACCATGAATGATTTTCCAATGTCTACATAGATAGTACATTACAAAATTCAGAGACCACCCTACCTCATATATATTTAATTTCCAGTCAAAACAAGTATTAAGTTCAAGTTATTCATTTTTCAAGAGATATTTCAAGATATTTCAAAGGGAATAATAATAATAATAATAATAATAATAATACATGCGAGCATTATCTACTTGCATGAGGAAGAAAAATCCTTATAGAACAATTCATATCTTTTTAATTGAAACTTTGAATCTTTAATATAACATTCAAGTGTGCCATCATATTAATAATTGTAACATTTTACTCTGTACTTTTACATTTACATTAAATGTTCTGTTTTTTTGTACTAAAAAGATCTTAGTCCTTGTCACTTCCTAAAGCTATTATAGCACTGTTATTACAGTACGCTTCTGCAGATAATTAGCTGTAATAACACAATGGCAGCTGGCCGGAGGCGAGAAAGCACACTTGTAAGTTTTTCATCCTCCTCTTGGTTTGCCTAAAATTTCTCACGCTCACCTTGTGATGACTTTGGCCGATTGTCAACTCCCCGGCCTCCAATTCATGCCCGATTCTGTGATTCCAGCAACACCCACGCACACCCCACACATGTGCAGCACATATTCCTCACCCTCACACATGCATGCACATGGCCATGTTCTGACAAACCAAAACACCCAAACACGCGCGTGTGCAGGTGTGTATCCCCTCTGCGGTCTGTGTATGTGAGCTCACACTCCGAGTGCGTGAGGGGGAATAATCAGCTCTAATGCTATTGCTTCTCCTCAGATGTTGGTTTTCTTAAACTTCATTCGGACGGGATTAATTTTACATGAGGAGAGGGGGTCGTTTTACTGGCGTTTCTAAGTGATTTTTGTCCTGTTTAAATGTGCCATGTCGTTTTCACTAGACTGCACGTTCCTTTTACCTTCTATTAAACAAGCCGTAGAAATAACCTCGGGATATATTAATCCTGTGTGAATCAACATGCCAGTAAAAATGCCATCATTTTCTGTGGACAGGGAGTTTCTTCAGTAAGAAGGCACATGAAGCAGCGTTTACACACATTCTCAGTGGCTAAAATCAAGCCAATATGTACTGTCCTCCTCAAGTGTATGGCTCAAAACATTAAAATATACAAATTACAGAGAAATATGTCTTATACGCCGATGTTGGTTGTACATTCCCAAGCCGACAATGCGAGTGAGACACTGCAATCACTTAAAACAGCAAGACAGCAGTAAGGGTAAATGGAATAACGGCGAAGTGAAATGTTTTGCTTTGTTTTTTACTTATTTCTGATGTAAAGGCAGTGAGTAAATTGAGGAGCTCCTCCCATTTCTGCCATTTATACCGAGGTTTCTTAGCCTGTGTGAATTGGTCACAAACGTTACAGTCACCTTGGTGTAAATCCCGTTCCCAGTAGGCACTTAGTCTGATCTCCTACGCTAACAGCAGAGCATCTTCCACATGAAATGATAATTTAATCATTTAAAAAAAAAACAGTTTTACACATTTTTTTCCTCTTATTCCAAATGTAGTTAGTCAGACAAGACATGCTAAGTATTTGCAGTTTTCTTTACTTTTACACTGGAGATATGAGGGTCATGTAAGACATAAGTAATAGAAGCTTTTCATGCAAACTGCATGCCTGAATCATCAACCACTTGCCTTAAATCACACTGACTTGTTAAGTAATACCTTATGTGCTTTCTGACACTATATGGCATACTGTTATCTATAAAAATAGAAACAAATACAAAAATTCAGACTTTAAAGTGGCTGCTTCTTCCTTTTTTAATGTGATGTACTTTTGTTGTTTCCAGTGTTGGATCTGAATTTGAAGTTTATTGACTGCTAAGGTTTGTTGTATAGTAAAGAGGGGATCTGCCTTAGCTGACTATTATATACGCATACAGTACCGTGCAAGTCAGAGACTACCCCTCATGTGGCTGTTCTGACAGGAAGTCATCTTTCAGCAGATACCTCTGAAGAGATTAGATATTTCATTTGCATAAGGAAGAGGAAAGTCAAAGAAACATAATAGAAAACTCAATAGTTTTCAAAACTAGAGTTTAAAAATGTATTAAGACATACACAGACAATGAGACTCAACACTGCAGGCCCTGATAGACACCAAAACTGTCCCCATCAGATAAACAGCACTTAAAGCTTTCATCTTTGAGAGAGAGGAGAAAATCAAGCTGCTTCAGATCTGAAAACATCCACATGTGTTTCTATCCATCCTTCCACTGTGAGAAGACGACTCAGCGCTATGGGTCTGAAAGGATGTTTAGCTGTCGAGAAGAACCTCACTGAGAAAAGGAGACGGACACACCAAACAAAGAAGCTGAACAGTGGACTCCAGACCTCAATATCACCGAATGTGTTTTGATTACTTCAGAAAATGATGAACCAACTTCTAAGACTGAACTTTGAAGGTGTAGCAAAATATCCCTACAGATTTCTTTGACAAACTGAAAGCGAGTCTCCTGAAAAGATTGAAAGTTGTAATAAAGATAAAAGTTGGACACAATACAAACTGAAAGACTATTTAGTTGTTGAGGCTTCAGTGTAATTTTAAATATATAAATAATTAAATAATAATAAAATATATAAATAATTAAAATAATAATAAAATATATAAATAAATAATAAAATAAAATATATAAATAAATAATAAAACTTTTTTTTTATGAGACTAAAAAATGACAAACCCATGCTTAATGGCAGGCTTGACTAGAAATAAAATAAATGAATGGTGGTCTCTGACTTTTGCATAGTACTGTATGACCAAGGCTTATATGTTTTGACTGATAACTGACTGCTCTCTATTGCTCTGCAGGTATGAAACTCTGGCGGTTGCAACAGACGCAGACACCAGGCAGGATTCGGAACAGCAGAGCAAGAGCTCCGGGAAGAGACTTACGGTCAGTGTTTATTAGGCTGCAGCTAACAATCATTCCTTATAATCAACTCATGAAACAGTTTTTCGTCTGCCATTTCCTTTCCCTTTGTCCGGTACCAGTGCCGCCAACATTCAGAGTTTATGTAACAAATGATTTCCTGATTTATAGTGCAAGCCATTTTCCTACCAGTGCTTCCTGTAGTGTATTGCAGTCTGTCAGAATGACCAAATGGATTATAACATAACCATTATAGTGCATTATAGAGCACTTTTTTTAAGAAAAAAATTTGTGTCAACTTTAGGTATTTGACTTGTTGAGGCTACTGCACACCAGATGTCCAAAAACTAGAAACAGTCGTTTTTAATAAGGTGCTTTCCTAGCTATGACTTCCAGCACTGCTCAATGTCTTTGAACGCAACTGCAAGCCATTCATCAAGTTTCTATTAATGCATTATATTAAACCCACAAAACTCAGCAGTCTATTCCAGCAGCCTATTCCAGTAATGTATCCAGTATCTTCAGTTATTTACATTATAAATACCTTTTCACCTGCAGTACGCTACACAAATTCTTGTGTCAAGTATTGCTTAGAAAAAACTGTCGAAAACCTATTGAAGTGGGAAATACCCAGATCTGTATTCATTAATATGAACTGTGTGTCCATTGGTTATCTCACTGTGACGCTTCCCATGTGCTGTAGCTGTGCTTTGCTGTGCAGCAGCCTTAAAGCCCCAGGGAACCCAAGTGTGTTCTCTTTAGAATTTGGTTCATCTTGGTTTTGCAGCGCACAAAGTGTGTCTTGTAAATAACACACCAATGTCCACTAATTGCCCAGTATACAGGATGATTCCAAAAGATTCATCTGATTTCAAAATGATTTATTTCACTTGTAAATCGTTACAGAACAATACAATAAATTGTAAATGGTTTAAATGAGCAAAAAGTTATTATGTAATTTTTCAACTGTTCAATATGAACCTCGTCCAGCTGTACAGTCAACATCAACACCATAGTCAAATTAATCCCATACTCGATTGAGCATGTCGGGTGTCACTGCACTTACGGCTCTTCCAGTGTGATTTTGGAGATCATCCAGTGTTGTGGAACCAACGACGAACGCTCTGAGCTGTTGGAGGTTCACTGCCAACGAAAATCACACTGCACAGTTATGACGGATTCACTCTTATTAAAGTGGAGAACGCAGAATGCTTTCTGCTCAGGGGTCTCCATCTCCTCACAGACTGAAGGGAGCCATCTTCCACTGACAGTCAGAAACTCTATGACCCCCTCTTTCAATTGGTATGTGATTGGTTCCTAGGTGCCTCACGGTTGTAAAAATTTGGCGCTTTGAAAACAGATTAATCTTTTTGAATCACCCTGTGAAGTTATATTTACTAAAATTTCCTTCCTTCTAGTGTAAACTGGGCAGTCCTGAGGATTGTCCTGTCCACACATCTGAAATGATCTACTATGCGTTCCCTCATGGGAACTCTCTGTTTGAGTCAGGGAAACATACAGAGCAAAAGCTAACAACCAAGAGAAAGCTAACCAAGCACACATAACTGAACTAGCAGCTGTCCATTTATTTGTTTGTCCCTTTGGCCATGCTGGCCATGCCGGCCATGCCAGCGTTCCCTGGATGCACATCTAGCAGTAAAGTGATTAAGAAGCTTACATGCTTTGACGTCAGCTGGGCAATATTTTAGTGAGATGTGGACACACTGGGGTCTATAACACCACCTGCATATTTTAAGGCCCTTGTGCTTATTTCTCCCTGCTCACGCTGTTGCGTTTTGTTCTGCTTAAGTGTTGCAGCAGAACAGAAGTATTGAGGGATGTCAATCAAGTGTGCTGATTAGAATATTAGGATCACGCTCAGACTGGTCTGAGATCTGAACAGTGGTTTTTAGGCAGTTTCTGTCTTGTTTTTTTTTTTCATATAAAATTATTGGAAGTTTACTCTAACACACATGTTTAGTATCATGCAAACATTTTTAATATTTTGCACACTTTCTTGAGAATTTGCAGAAATTAAGGAATTAAGTTGTGTTTATAGTTTGATAACACTTTATAATATCAGGCCTCTATAGATAGCAACTTAATCTTTATTGTAATAGTTTGTTTATGATTGAATTATCCCTTTAATCAGTGACATTAGTTAAGAAATTATCTGTTTAATTAGTGACATACGAATAATTTATTTATTTGTATAAAAATGTATTTAAGTGTGTGTGTGTGTGTGTGTGTGTGTGTGTGTGTATATATATATATATATATATATATATATGTATAATAAAGTTAATGTTTCAAAAAGTAGGTATCAGCCAATTTAAGTGATTAATTAAGCATTAAGGAAAAGGTTGTGCATCACAAATTAGCAAGAAAGTAAATAACATCTTAATCATTTAATTGAATTTATTCATAAATATCATAAAATAGCTTATATGCAACACAATAAATGTTCACCATTATGAGTAATGAAAACCAATATAATTACTAACAAACCTAATTAATTCTACAATATCTACAATTCAAAATAGTTTTTGAATAATTATATCGCTATGTAAATTGTTAATAAATCAGATGTTACTATCATTAATGCATAAGTTGCTGTTTATTAGGCCCTGCTATTAAAAAGTGTTACCTATAGTTTTTTCTGTGAGGTTTTACTTTTGTATATTTATCTGTGTTTATAAACTCAAAGTTGAATTTGCTTGTCCCCCAGGCTGAGTGGATGCTGGTGTTGGGAGAGCAGGCCTTGGATATCTGCGTCCCCTCAGCCTCTCCCATGGCCTCCTCCATCTTTGTGCTGGGCGAGCGAAACCTTTTCTGCCTGCGCGACAGCGGCCAGATTCGTTTCATGAAGAAACTGGAGTACAACCCCAGCTGCTTCCTTCCCTACGCCTCAGGTAATGGCACAGTCCAATCCAATCCATTCTTGTCACGGTTCTGCTTCGGACATGTCCAAAGTGACACACTCGATCCACATCACATTTTTTTCCAAGTCAAAGCGAGATACAAGTTTACCCAGTGGCTGCCAAGAGAAAATGTCCTGGAAAAAAAGTGGATTTTTGAAAACATACTTCTGTGAACACCATAGACTTTAGCCTTGTATTTCGTGGCAAGCTGATTTTGCGTTTATGACTCACTGAGTCAGTCATTCTTAACTGTTCCTTATGGGGAAATCCACTGGACGTGCTGTGTATTAGTTATGACAGCACAGTCAACAAAGTCACCATGTATAACTGAGGGCTTCCTAATATGCCAGGATATCTATATTTGTGCACCAGCTCTGGTTCATCTGATAAGGCATGTAGATTCCTGTTTGTGTTGCGTTTGGGACCGACACTGCATTTAACACAGGTCCTCTCTGTTTCTCTCTCTCTTGGGCCTTGTGAGTGGAAATATCTAAGCAGACTTTGGTTTCATCCACCTCCACATATTTAACACAGCAAAGTAATGTGGGTTGCGTTTTGGATGACCCATTAGCATTACCGTGGCTGATGAGGGTGTAGAGGGCCAAATGCAGCATACAGAGGAACATTATTTTATCCTTAGGAGTTTGGGGTGGGCAAAATTTCAGGCAAAAATCTTATTTCTGAAACCATTAGTATGTGAAAAAAATCCAGTTCGTTTACTGTTTGCAGTGACATGCCTTATGGGAATAAAGGTTTAAGTGATTTCTTTTGTGTAGTTAATCACGATTGATCACATTTGTCTTATTTGCTCAAATTTGACCACAAAGAAAGATTTTTTTAAATTTTGAAAACAGTGCATTTTGCTGTAGATATGTAGACTGGACAAAATAAGCATCATCCAGGCTATTCAGGTTATTTTTGTGATTGTAGCACACTGCACTGCCCCGGGCTCAGGAAGGATGCTGGAGAAACATTTGCAGCAGCCATTTCACTTTAATTTTCACACCACACAAGCAAAACAACTTGCAACCAAAACCAAAGCTGGCCACTTTTCAGTGGCTTTAAAGCTAGACTTTTCAGTCCTTTTCTCCGAACTAAGCTTTTTTTAGCTCTTCAGTCTGCTGCTGCTCGTCCCCCTCTTGCTCTCTGTCCCTTGTTGTTTGTTGTTCCACTGTCGCCGCCCCCACTCTCTGGCTCATCCAACGGGTTTGAAAGTGAGGCAAATTAAAGTGACCAGGAGGCGATGTCTAGGACTCGCGCACCGTTCCCCACTCCTTTGCGGATTTCGTCCTCCCCTGCTGTCTACACAGGGTTTTGTCAGGGCTCGAAGTTTGGCCCCGCCTTCCTGCTGGCTCTCGCGGCCGTCATCGGGGCCCAGGGCGCATACCACAGTCATGTGAACCCTTCATGAACTTGAGCATGAACATCGTATGCATTCCACAGAGTGATTGCCGTTTCCAGTTTTCATTGCCAGTGTCCAGTGAGAGCATCAGTGGTTGCATGTTCCAACCAATGACTGTATATGTCATATATCTATGTGTGTACATATATATGTGTATGTCTTACATACAGTCAATGTTTACATCTCCTCTGTGATTATAGACTTGTTCTCGTTCATACAGCTTGTGGATTCCTGTTACAGTGGAGGATCTTGGGGAGACTTGGAGCTTTACTCTGCTGTTCCTGTTACTCTGCTGCTTGCTGTTGCATTTGTTAGTTTGCTGCCCTGTCCAGTGTAGTGCCTTGAAGACATCACTGTAAAAGCCACTAAAAAGCTGCATTAGAATGAGAGAGATACAGTCATTTGGTCATAACAACGTACAGCATGCAGCAGCTCAGCTTTAGCCTGGACTACTACGGACGGTTTGAACATATGTAGTAGTGCAGGCTGAAGTTTCTGACATTGTCATTAACTTAATCTTTTTGGTCTTTGACAGCATTACGATGGCAGAAATATCAGAATGTAAACCTGCCTTCAGAAATACACAATGCTGCAGAGCTGTAGGTTTGTGGAAACATGCAGCCACTGTGAAGTGTGTTAGGTGGTAATCGTGAGTGGAGATTCCAGTCATCATTTCCACTGGGGCTTCCCTTCAGCTGCATTCACTTAAGCAGGCATTTATATTACTGACAGAAACAGGGAGATGGAAAAACAGAGCAAGAGCGATTTGGCACCTGCTCTTTGACAGCGGTGATGTCTCTCTTGCAGCTAAATACACATTCACTTCCATTGTACATCATGCATGCACACATGACTCAGTCTCATTAGAGAAGTGCTGAAGTGCTTAGATTGCTGGCAACAGCAGTGAGAGCTGTGTGAGAGAGAGAAAAGGCTGAGCCTCTGGTTCTGGCAGTGCTGACCTGCTGGGTGAATGTGGGTGAATGTTACTCGAGGTAGAAAATCATTTCCTGCCATTGTAAAATGGTATAGCGGTTGCATATAAAAGCTTCCAAGCTGTTGGAGTTCTCATTGTTTTGGCTGGAGCTTCAGCAGTTTAGCCTAGCGTTTAGAACCTTTAACAGACTTCCCTTTGACTCTGAAATATAGCACTGTTTTTTTCTATGTCTCTCTTTCTCTCTCTCTCTTTTTATCTTCATCATGTAACCCCCCCCCCAAAAAAAGTGTGTGTGTGTGTGTGTGTGTGTGTGTGTGTATAAGTAGTTCATCACTAGGGCTAGATATCAAGCCCCCTCACATCACTTTTATGATGCTGACCAATTTACTTCCATATTAACATGTTTAAAATGTTCTGTCATTTGGTCATTCAATACCGAAATTGTTTGGAGGCAAATAAGCAGGTTTCTAACAAAATCTGTAAATGGCTGTTGAACTTACATTCGGAAATAGAGATACAAATTTTGGCAAATTCTTTTGACCAATCATAATTGGCTGGTGATCACTCACCAACCAGCAAGCCTAAAATTAACGACGTGACCCATCCAAATATCAGTGATACCTATATTTAAAATGCAGCTCGAAGTGCTTTACAGTGTGAAGTAAAATGACAGTGAAATAAAAGAAATGAGAGGGAGTCAAATAAAATCAGCAAATAAAATCAGTGAGAAATAAGATAATGGGTCCAAGCATCAGCGTGTACATGAAGTCAACGGTCCAAAACCAGATTAAACATATTTGTTATGCTATTGTCCTCTCAAAAAGTTGTCCTGAACGCCACTGTTTTCAGATGCCTGCTCCATTTTTTGATTGGCCTGTGTAGAGGAACCAATTGTCTTTTTCACTTCAATGTATACGGTTAAAAAAACGTTCCTCAGTGTAAATGATAAACCTGCCTGTTCCAAAATTATTGGAAATGAAATAAAGCCAATAGCCCATTGTTGAAAACCATAATTTAAAAAGCATGCCAGGATCCTTGTCCCTGTCTTAACTCTGAGGAAGACGCTTGATTAAAACTATGAAAGAATGATGACATTTGAAAATCTACAAACAAGTCAGTAAAAGCTTTAAAAATAAAAAATTTCTAAATAATATTTAGGGCTTACAAAGCTGTTCCTGAATGAAAGTTGGACCTGTTCAGGTGAGATTCGAGATGTTTCTTCTTTGGCATGAGGATTTCTGTCCATCAGTTTCATATTAGCATGATGAGATTTTTTTGACAGATTGCTCATCCAGATTAATATTGCTCTGTTAGGCTGGCTTTACATGGTGAAAATTGCAGGCAACTAGTTGCACGTTGTGAGTTGCCTGCTACATAATTTCCTTGCAATCGGACCGTTACGCAGTGCAATTAAAAACAGTTGCATGCAACACTTTTGATTTCTCCACTGGATAGCCAAATTATTTTTTCATACACCGCATTGTTCATGCTGTGAAGTCAACTGTAAGGTGTGGTTACACATATTTTTGCTTTTTTATATATCTATCTCTGTAGGCTACCTTACTATATATTTATGCTGTTTGTTTTGTTGCTAATGTAAGTTTTCTGTGTTAGCCTTTGCAAAAGGATGTTCAAGTAGGCATTACAGTTATAGCCTAATTGAACAAACTCATCAGGGACCGCATCTCTGTCTTCTTTTCTGTGATATTTTTATTGTTTGGATACCAAATGAAAAATCCTGTAAAATTAGAGAGCAGCAAGAGAGGAGAAAATTAATCTAGCTAGGAGGATACGTTGCCAGCAGGCTAAAGAAGAATAAACGGTGGCACAAGCGGCCATTTAAACAGCTGTTAACATTTGTTGATTACAGTAATGTTAACTTGGACAAACTCATATTTGCTGTCAGGGATAAGGAACCTGACAAAATAAAAAACCCACTGCATAAAGTCTTTCAGGAGGGTCTCCTTTTGAACTGCCCAAAAACATCTGTCTTATTTTCCTATTCGCCGATGTGGTGAAATCAATCATTTGCAAGTACGCTGTTCAGCAGAATCACATCATCCATTTTGTTTGGCTGTTACATCAAAATAGAGATGTTTGCAACTGTTGTGGCTGCAATTCAAGTGAATTGCAAGATTCAACTCAAGTGCAATTGTAATTTCATGTAGGTTTCGAGTAGAGCTGAGCCATGTGCCAACAGTGTAATATCACAATACTTGGAAGAAGTTTTTATGATACAAAATATATATACATTGCAACGGACAAAGTAAATGCCACATTTAAAAAATAATATCAAAAACAATGAATCCAGTAATTTGCATTTGATATGGCACATACTATGCTATGCTAAATCCAATAAAACATTTAAAATTATGCTCTCTTTTAAATCAAACATGCAATTGTCAAGTGTTTTGTAAGTACTGACAGTATCCACAATATGCTCAGAAACATTTGTTGTAACATAATTTATCACGGTAATGACAAATATTTCCCAGCCCTAAAATTGCATGAAAGAAACACAAGTAACACATTAAGTCTATAAATCTGTGTTATACTTTTCTGCTATAGGAAGAAATAATTACATTACTGCAGTATGTTAGTTTGTATGGCATTACCCCCAGCACTGGTGTTAGGCCTGCCTAAGAGTTCATGATGGCCACACTCCTACACTGCAGTACACTCTCATTTACTCATGCACGTGCACACAGACCGTCTCTTAGGCCACTGTTGAGGTCAGTGAAGTAAAACTCAGTGACTTGTCTGTTTGATAAATCCCTGCTATTACAGGCTTTGAAATGAAAATAGAAAAGTAAATTTGCATGCGTGTGTGTGCATGCATGTATTCATGCGTGTGTGTGAGCATGAGAGGCGGCTCGAGGCAAGGCTGGACTCTGAGGTTTAAAGTGCTGGCGTAGGCGTGCTCCTTAATTCCATGGCATTTTTGGGAAGTGAGAAACGAGAGAGTTCTGGCTGGTTTGAAGTGGCATTGGAGGAACGAGCAGCAGCCTGTCATTAACCTGACCTCCCTGACACTGCACACTGAGACCACACGCACACCTACGACACCCTGGTCACCACACTGGCCTTCCTGTCCTCAAATAGTATGGAAGGTAAAAAAAGACAGAGACGGGTCCTTCACAGGCGGTCTGAGTGCTTATGTTGTATGTGTGTGTTCACATGGCCCTGACGCTCTTGTTCCGTCCGCAGTTTCTGAGGGCACCACTAACCTCCTGCTGGGTAACCACAACAACATGCTGCTGGTGTATCAGGACACCACGCTGAAGTGGGCGGCCCAGCTGTCCTGTGTGCCTGTGGCCGTACGTGTGGCCAACTTTCCGTGAGTACGCCCATGAGGGCTGCATGATATATCATTTTGCGTCAATTGTTATCACAATATTGACCTTTGCAGTATTGATATTGCAATAGGCTGCATTATGCAAATGGGTACTTTGTATACATTACATTGAATACATTATATTATAATGTAGACAGTGTACAAATATGTATTATAAATATATATATATGTATATATATATATATATATATATATATATATATATATATATATATATATATAGTCTTATGCATGTGTCGCCCTTGATCACATGACATGTGACTGATTTTCTAACGGCACGTGTTAGTGCACAATTACTTTTTTTTTGACAAATTAAACATATTGGGAAAAAATAAAACATAAAAGAAAGTTATTCGTAAAAACTCTATCAATGTATGTTTTATTTTATTTATTTCCAACATGGAAAACTCAGCAAATAAATAGAAAATTAAATTGGTTCTATGGAGAGGATGCATTAATTTGTTTTCACTTAGAAAATCAATGTAATGTAATTTATCAGAGGGTATTATTCAAACTTCTGCATAAGACTGTATGTGTCCATGTTTTGTATATATATATATATATATATATATATATATATATATGTGTGTATGTGTGTGTATGTGTGTGTGTGTGTGTGTGTGTGTGTGTGTGTGTTATAATAACATTTCTAGATATAAAGAGGTTTGAAAAGAATAATAGCTAACTCACTAGTCAAAAAACGTTATTTTATTTCTATATTAATAATAATGTAGCATTAATATGTCTTGTATGTGTAAAGCCCACTCCCAGCAATGCATATGATGAAGAAAAAATACAAAAATCATTAGAGAAGTTTAATTTATTTTGAAATGAAAACCTTTATACAGTATAATGCAGTGATAGTGCAAATAGACATTTTGCTTACTTAAAATATGCTCATTACATCTGTGAAATAAATAATAATAATAATAAATAAATTTCATATAATACCTCTTGTTTTTTTTTTCTTCTAAGGTCCACTTTTGACATTTGTGTGGTTTTATGTGCCATATTTTACATGACCGTTTTTGCCAAACATTTTTTGTTACCGTTCCTTTAAGACTGATATATCTAAGTGAGCTCTGTTCTGATTAACCTCCTTTTGTCCTGTATTGTACCACATTCAAAAAGCAGTCCAGGCTGAAACACTTCTTATAACTTCAACACAGATGGGAGGAGCTTAACTCCTCTTAGAAAAATATATTTAAATATGTCGGTCGTGACATCACAAAAGCAGTGGATTCAGAAAGCAGCAAAAATTCTGCTTTCCCTGATGTGACATTTAGATCTAATTGGATTTGACAAGATTTGTCACTTTATGAATGTTGTTGAGGTTGAAGCTTTAGTATAAGCTAAAAACAGTCAATAACACGGTCAATAAGAAGCCTAAAAGCCTTAACACATAGTCGACATTGCTAAGTGAAAGCCACATGCATTGGGCTAATTGCAATTCAGAAGTTTTATTTTGCACCATTTTTCCTTTTGATGATGATGTAGGTTGGTTCATAAGCACTATGTTTGTCAGAAAATGCCTGGCAAACCACTATAAACATTAAGAATGAATTGTTAGATAAAACTAATAGATTATAGGCTTATAAAGACAAGATGCCTTGCATGCAAGATGAGGACAGTATGATTTTGTCACTATTTTCTTTTTTTTTTTTTACATCAAAAAAACTCTAAATGCAGTGATATAGTAAAATGGCCGAACATCAGCTGCGGAATAAAATCACTGTTATGTGTTCTTCTTTGATAAGATGTAAGTGGGTGGAATAGAATCACTTGATCAGTTGTATGACTTTATTTTATTCGCAGTTTCGTTGTTTCTTTCGTGGCAAAGGTGTTTCCATTGTAGTTTTTTTGCATTACCTTTTTATAGGCAAAAACCTTACCCACCTCAAGTGAGCTTGTAAACATCTATGTGAGTTTTAGAGACTTTATTTAAAATTTGTTGTTTTCATGAATTCATTTTATTTGCAAAAAAAAAAGTCAAAATATGCAAAAAAATCACACTATTTCAAAAAAATCTGTATTTACTGTATGACATTTTGTGTGTATCATGCAGCCCTATTGTAACAGGCATCTGCTTCCTGGCCTTTCTTGCTGGCCCGTGTTCTTGTCTGGTTGGTGAGGTCATAGTTTAGTGTCTAATATCCTGTAGCGCAGTTTCAAATGGGTATAAAACAGGAAAACGGAAGAAGCACGCCGTTTGACTGTCCCACGTTATTATTTCTTTGGAGGTCAGTTCTTTAGTGTAAGTTCCAGGTTGGGAAATGGTCCCTGCAGAAAGGCTGGATTGTTTGCCAAATGCGATGCCAGGATCCTGCTTTGTGCCATTACTGAAAACCACAATATAGCATCAGGCAAGTCCACTCACTTGACTGCCTTTGCCTAAATGGAAGATATCAACCACTCCTGTGTCAAGCCAGGGTTTTTAAATGAGCTTTTCCCAGTTTGTAGCCACCATTATCAACCAGCCGGGATGCAGATTTTGGCACGGAAAATGGTGAAGTGTGTGAGGGCACAGAATCGAATTTCTTGCCTTCTGATCTAGTTCAAGGCCAACTGGAGTATATCAACCCCTTTTTTTTCAGTCCAGTAGTGTGTGCTGTTAGTGAAAAGAAATGAAAATGAAATTGAAATTCAAGACACATTTGGCCAAAAATTGAAAATGAAAACTGTCAAAAAAAGTTCTTTTTTCAAAGACCACATTGAAAATCTGTGAAATAAACAACAGAAAACCTGGAAATAAACAACAGAATGTTTTAGAATTGTGTAAAATTTAAAACAAAGAAAAGTTATGACACATAAAATGAACAAGTATTATTATGATGAAGATGTATTATTTCTAGGTCACTACTCAAGTTGTTTTGTTTTTTTTTCTTTTTTATCTCTTCTTTTGAAGCTTGTGTTCAGATGACTGTCAGGTGGGTTTGATCTGCTCATAGACTTTTGCCCAAACTTGTGGAGTCCATGCCAGCTCGAGTGCACGCTGTCATTAAAGAAAAAGGTTTTACATATTCAAATAGTTTTGCTGAAAAAAGAATTTGTAATGCAGATGAAAACCTTTCTACTAAATTAGAAAGGAATGCAAAATAGAAGCATTTGCGCTAGTGACTTGACTTTTGGACTGTAAATTTACAAAGAAGTGGCTTGCAAGTGGCGTGGCTCCCTAAAGCTGCCTTTACACAGTGACACGTTGCAACATACTTTCTGTGCAACTGGACAGTTACATGAAGTATTCAAAAACAAAGACATTTGATTACTTCTCTGGTTGGCCAAAGTAGCAGTTTATATTTTTGTTACACCCTGTTGATGATGCTATAAAGTTATCCATGATGTGTAATTTACATATTTGAAGCTTTTTTTATCGTCTTTGTGTGTTGTTTGTGCTCTTTTTCTATGCGTGTATCTGCTTTATATATATATATATATATATATATATATATATATATATATATATATGTATATATGTATATGTAATTTTTTTTAACCTACCTAGGGTTACTATATTGTCACTTTCGGAAACAAAACCTTCTATCTTGAAAATGCTAACTTTACAGGAGGTATAAAAAGCGTTATTGTAGCAGAAGTTAATATAACCAGTATTTTTCTGTGTAATTTTGGACCATTTCTTTTAGTCCATTCATTATAAAATTTTAATGCAAGCTCAAGGGTCACTGGACTGTTTGCTTAAGCAGCATACTGTTATTCTGTTAGCTGGCTAGTTAAGACATCTAGTTACAGAAATGCTATCTTCGAGAAACTCACGTTTGTTGTAATGGCTCAGAAAACAAAGCCATCTTTTCTTGTCCACTCATTTGGTCAAATCAGTGGTTTGAAAGTATGTTGTTCGACATGATCACATGGTACATAATTGCCGTTTTGATCGACTGTTTCATGAAACCTGTTCCATGAAGCTGAAATGCTTGCAACTGTTGCGGCTAAGTTTCTGATGAGTTGCAGGACGCTTTACGTTATGCAACCCAAGTGCAATTTAGTTTCATGTGGTTTCAAGCAGCTAAAGTTGCATGAAGGTGTCCCCGTGTAAAGATAGTCTAAGGTTTTTTCTGGATAATTGAATCAAATCATGGTGAAATTTGAGATTTCATGATGTATTGAGTTGTTTACAGCATAGTCATCAAATTAAATCATGACATCTGAGATTTACACCCCTAGCATCCAAGGCTTTAATCAGCTCTATCACAAGCCAGATATAATGCCTGTCTTGGGTGTTTGACAGTGGGCTTTAATTATGGCTTTCTGGACAGCGTCATTTTGATGGAAGGCCTCTTGCTGCTTGTCTGTGTGAAAAGCGAGAGGGCTCTTCTTCCCAGGCCTGAGATGAGCCATGTGTTTTTCTGGAACTGTTTGCTCAGATTCTTTCTCATCTGATAAGGTAACAGATACTCCTGTAGGCCGTGCTGAGTGAAAGCTCACTCTCTCGTCCTCTATCTCTCTCATTTTCTCCCGCTCTCTCTCTCTCCTCCCTGTCTCTCTCTCTCTCTCTCTGGGTCACTCACTCTAGTTTTGTCCCATGCTTTTTTTTTCTGCTGCTTTTGCTCTTGCATTAAAAGAGCTTGTCTGTCAGCACTATCTAAATGAGCTTTTTGTCCTTGTCCTGAGCTCATATCTCCACCCCACCGGGACCCCCAAGTATTCTCTGCACACACACGTTCTGTATAGTTTCGAAATGCCAGGTCCATCAAAGAACATCCTCTTTGTTTGAAATTGGTTGTGGTTTCCCAAAAGCCTCAAAGTATCTAACTGTTAACTGTTAGACAGCATTCAAAGCGATGGTCACTGTATCACTTGACTCTTATCTTTGTGCTAAGATTCTTTTGGCACACTCTACACCAGCCTGGGTGCTTTTATTGACTTGTTATTAAGTGGTATAGCAAAAAAAGGCCTGACTGATATGAACCTTTTGTGGCCAGTACTGATTTTAAGGAGTGAAAATTTCTGATACTCAGTGTTAACTG